GGCAGTTCTGGGTCAGGATGCAGGCCGTCTGCTTGAGCTGTCCTCTGCTCCAGCAGTTGGCAGTGGCTTCAGCTTGGTCTGCCAGTCACAGAGCCTTGGAGCGGACGTCCAGCTCTGGGACTCCGGGTAAGAAAACGCCCCCCAGTCCACTTAGAAGCCCACAACCTGAGGGGATGTCCTTGGAAAAGAACACGAGGGCCTAAGGCAGGCCACCTCTGTGCATCCAGGGGCCAGGACACCTTCCCGGGCTCTCCCAGGTGCCGCCCCCGCCCCCACCCCCAAGAAAAGCTGCTGCGTGCGAGTGAGCTCAGAACACGCCGCAAGGCAAATATAATGAATGTGTTATGAAGCTGCTCAGGCTCCCGGGGTCACGTGGTGCCGCCGTCGCCTGCCTGCCTGCCGGGTCTCTGCTCAGGTGACCCTGGCCTTGTTAGGGCTGCACAAGCATCGCCCCTTGTTGGGGGGGTGCACGGCGGCCCGGAGCTGGGGGACACCCTGTATTTGTTCACAAACATTCCTGTCTGCGGTAATGAAGAATTACCGAGAGGGGTGATTAGAGAACCCAGGTCGGGACCGCGCGCGCAGAGCTGACGGAGGCCCTGCTGGGCCTGGCCTTGTGGGGTGTAATTACCCCGGGGCAGGGGGGTGGGGGCTGTCAGGGGAAAGGGGTGGATCGGTGCTTGAACCGGGAGCCAGCAGAAAATTCATCTCAGCTATTAGCTTGTAATTACAGAGCACGCAGGGAGCAGGCCCGAGGTCTGGGGCCACGGAAGAGCGGGATGAAAGGAAGCGGTAATTATGGGTCCGCAGGAGGCTGGAGGGAGGCCGCAGGCTGATTAACACCGCCCTCCGCCCGCGCGGAGCAGGGAGCCGTGTTTAATGGAGCGTTAGGGGCCCCTGCCCCCCGCCCCCGTTGGGTCCTGCTGTCGCCGTGCGTTTGGACAGCAGGCTCCCCGATCGATCGGGCTGTGTTCTGAAGCACCAGGGACAAGGTGGTTCTGGAGAATGTCCGCTGAGCCGCCAGCCAGGCTCGCCCCTCGGCACTTGGGTTTTTCTTCTTTGCCTTTTTGTTTTGTTTTTTGAAGCTCTGTGCTGCTTCTGGCCATATTAGAGACCTGGGCAGAGGAGAGGAGAAAGTATTGATTAAAGACACCTCGCTTTGGTAGAAGGTGCAGGCATTAGCGCAGGACCTCCACAGGCGTGGTGGGCCTTGCTTCTGAACACCGGCGCCATCCAGGAGGGAGGGGCCCAGCTGATTCTGGGGGTGACTTTTCCTCTCTGGTCCCCCCCACCGCCTCGGTCACGGGGGTCGCGGGCCCTTGGCTCTGGGTGTGTTGCTGTAGCAGCTCTTTTTTCTGGGGGGAGTGGGGGAGGGTCTCCGGGGGCGGGGGACGGACAGCAGCCTGTGATACAGCTGAGACATCCAGGAGGCCCCCTGAGCTTGTATGTCTGTGTGTGTGTGCACGCGCATATGTGTGCATGTCAGGTCAGTTGAGCAGGAAGGGAGCCCACCCCAGCCCTCATCCATCCCTGGCCTCCACACTGTGGAGCCTGTTCCCAGCTGTTAGGATAATGGATTTACATGAGCTGATAATGTAGACAAGAACCCAGTGGATGGCCAGGAGCACAGAAGTTAATGAATACCTCTCTAATGAGGGGGGGTGCACCCCTGCTCTGCGGGGCTTCTCCAGGGTGCCGGGGCCCCCTGAGGCCCCCTCTCCCTTCCCCTTGCCCCTGTGGCTTCCATGGTCAGGGTGGTGCCTGCCTGGGCAGGGCTGGGGGGCAGAGCCATCCTGAAGTGACCCCGAGGCTGCAACTGGGGGCAAGGCCCAGAGATGGGGACTGTGCTCCCCCATCGACCTCCAGCAAATTCATGGTGACCCTTCGCAGGGTCTTGGGTTCTCCCACGTTTGGCCTTTGCCTGCCTGCATCCTTGGTGTAAGGGGGCTGTCAGCCTGGCGGCCGGTGGTCCCCGGGCCCCCTGCCTCCCCTCCCTGCCCCTCCCAGCGCACACACGCTGAGGAGGAAAGCTAATTTTAGACTGCCCTAAGGAAGCTGCTCATTTGGAATCCTATTTTAAGTGGCCTGACATCAGCAGAGCGGCTTTCCTGGCTGCGGGATGCTCCAGAGCCTGCAGTGACCACAGCAGGGACACTCGCTTTGGGGGACCCCCAGGAGTCCCGGGGGGCTGTCCATAAGGTGCTACGGGGTGGGGTGTCGCTAGGTGCCAGGAGGAGTGAGGCGCTGACAGTCAGGGGCAGCTCTTATGGGAAGGGGGCAGGGGGTGCACCTGCCTCCCAGGACCCTGGTCACCAGGGAAAGGCTGGGGCTGTCAGTGTTGGGGTTCCAGCAGGTGCACCCCAGTTCCCTCAGCTCCCATGTCTGGCCAGCAAGAGGCTCTGGGCTGGGGGATCCCCCTCCAGGGGTTATTCCAAACTCAGGCAGCCAAGTCTCTCTTTGAGGGCACCCCATTTTTAAAAAACCTGGTTTACTCCAGAAAAGCTAGAACATAGGCAAGGAAGTTCTGTGTTAAAAACATAGACCGTTTTTAACATAGGGCTAAAATGATAAAGTTGTTCCTCTTGGTGATACCCAAAGGCTTCCGCCAAGGGCCTTATGGGGTGTGTGATGTTTCTGGGGTCTGACCCCGGGTTTGCCTAGTGGCTGCTCCCAGGCAGCTCTGTACCATCCTGCCCAGCGCTGGCAGCTGGTGGTCACCAGCTGGCCAGTCTGTCACGCGGCCGCTGGGCGGTGCCCTCACACCGGCCCCCTGGGCTGAGGGGACAGGTCCCTGGGAGGCAGGGGACCTCCGCGCCCGCCTCACGTCCCCAGAGCGGGGCTGGACCTGGGCCCCGACCAGCTTCCCGTGCGTGGGACACGGGTGCTGTGTTCAGGTAATCCCAGCCCCGCTGGTGACCTCCTGTCGGCCCTTGGGCCCAAGCCTGGACTCTCCCATCTGTAAAGTGGGCACAATAACGTGTCTAAGAGGCTGTAGGGTTTAAAGGGTGGTGGCCAGTTCTCTAAGGAATCCTGGGAAGGGGGAAGGGAGGTGGTTAATGGCCATGAATGGCACCAGAGGGTTCTGTTCTGGGTGTACACGGGTTCTGTTAACTTCATGAAGTAGACTTTGTCTTCATCCTCAGGTTACAGATGAAACTGAGGCCTAGAGAGGCAAGGGGACTTGTCCAGGGTCACACAGCTGGAGGCCCCGGAGCTGGGGTCCAGGCCACCCCCTACGTGTGTGGCCACGTAGGCCGTGCTAAGCCTGACCTCCAGGCGCCCCCTTCCTCCTTCCTACAAGGCTGGTCCACACAGTCCTGTTCCCTCATTCCAGGGAGAAGGGGTTGGGGAGGACTGGGTGCTGGGGCAGGCCTCCTGCTCAACTGCCCTAGCGGCTGGCCAAGTGCCGGGGTGGCCGAGAGAGCGCTCTTGTCCAGAGCCTGTGGGGCAGGGACCCTGTCCCCCCACCCGCCCAGGTTCCTCTGCTTGACTGCAGGGCCTGTGGAGTCGCCTGTACCCTGCCCTCTGCTCCGCTCCTCCAGAGAGGAGGACGCACAGAGTCAGGGCCCTGTCACCCACCGGCAGCTGGGAGGGTGCGCTGCTGGCCGCAGGCGCTGGAACTCTTGTGGGGTCCTTTGTCCCCAAGGTGTGAGCCATCTCCCGAGAGATGGGCCCCTCTGAGCATGCACTGGCCTCTTTAACACCCCCCCACAGTCATGGCTGTTTACCCTCTGCACCCCCGAGATCTCTTTGCCCCCCCACCTTGCAAGGGGGGCGATGGGGGCCACAGCCCAACTCTCCAGGATTTGGGGTGCAGACTGTGTGTCGTCGGGGCCTCAGCCTCACCTGGCTGCCCGCAGAGGGGCGGGGGCCCCGGGGGAGGCACATGTGCCCACCACACTGTCCTCGTGGCCGCCCTCTGGCTGCGTCCTCCCGGGCTCCCCAGGTGAGCGCTGTTCCCCGGAGCGGTCCTCCCAGCTCTCTGCGCCTCCCCCTGCACTCAGTGCGTGGCCTGCCGCCTGTGAGGCCGTGGGCCTTGTTTGTACCCCTCGAAGGTACCCGCAGGTTGGGAGCAGGGATGGGCAGGTGCCCCCAAGGGGGCAGGAGACGCTCACTCCCACCAGCCAGTGAGGAGCGTGGCCTTTGTTGATGGGTCTCGCGGGGCCTGCAGGAGGGCGAGCCCCCCGGGGGTGGGGAAGGCTTGCGGGGTCCCCTTGGTCAGCTCCTTGGTCAGCGTGGCCGAGCCTGGACCCCCCACCCCCACCCCGGGGGGAGCCGTGTAGACCTGCTGCTGTGCATCTTCAGTGTCTCGGGGGGTCTCTGCACCCAGCCGACCGCCGTGGGGTCTCGGCTGGCTGTGTCCTCTGCCCACTTCTCACCTCCAGGGAGCCTTCTCGGTGCAGACCCGCTTTGTCCCCTGGGGCCTTTGGGGTTCAAGGGGCGACGGCAGCTGCACATGAGGGCCCAGTCGACCCGCAAGGGACGGTCCCGGGTCCCCGCGGCCTGCCTGAGCGCGAGCCCGTTTCCTCCTCTGGGAGGAGGGAGGTGTGCGCCATCGTCCGTCTGGGGGACGTGCTGGAGGCCCTGCCTGTCCTCCGGGGGGGTCCCCGCTCTGACCCTCTCCTTTCCGTTGGCCTTCCTCTCTTTCTTGCAAGAATACCAGCCCAGGGTCCTGGGCCCCGTGGTTCTCTGGTTGTGGAGCGGAGAGGGACGCCGGGCCGGCGGCCCCCTCGCTCTGCAGCGCTGGCTCTGCCCCGCTTCGCCCGCCCCGCCCCGCGTGCCCGGCCGGCGCCCGCTCTGGTGCTGGGCCCTCTGCTCGCGGGTGACTCTGGTTCTTCTCTTCCTGTTTCAGGCATGAGCCATGAGCCCAAGTCCCCTTCGCTAGGGATGCTCTCCACCGCGACCAGGACCACTGCCACCGTCAGCCCCCTCACCCCCTCGCCGCTCAATGGCGCCCTGGTGCCCAGCGGCAGCCCCGCCTCCAGCAGCGCGCTGTCGGCCCAGGCCGCACCTTCCTCCAGCTTCGCCGCCGCCCTGCGCAAGCTCGCCAAACAGGCGGAGGAGCCCAGAGGTAAGAGGCGCGCCCGCCCCGGGCAGCCGGCCGAGGGCGCGGAGAGCGCGATCCCCCCTGGTCCCCAGGGCTCTGGGCGCAGGGCTGTCCATCTGTCCGTCTGCCCGCGGGCTTGCACACCGAGCATCTGCTCTGGCCGATCTTCCTCCTGCTGCTGCTTCACGGCAGGGACGCGCTTTCGGACCCCTGCCTGGCTGCTGAGCCCCGCTCTCTGTGCTGTCTGCTGCCTTTCTTTGCTCCAGGAGCCGCCGAGGGGGCCCTCTGCCGATAGCAGTGGGCGTGGGGGGTGGTTTGCAGGTGTGATACCCCTTTTAGAGCCCCCGGCCTGCTCTGGGGCCTCTTCCCAGGAGGCGTGTGTCCCGGCATGTTCCTGAGTTGGGGGCACAGCTCACCCACCACTGCTATCCTCCCGGCCCCCAGGCAGGGGTCTTGTGGCATGGACAGGTGTCCCCCAGGGGTCTGGAGCCCTGGCTCCTCCTGTCACTGGGGCAGCTACGTGCTGTGTGGCTTTTGGCAAACGCTGGTCCTCTCTGAGCGTCAGCCTTCTCATGCGTACAACTCTGGCTCCAGGCCCTTCCAGGGTGACTGTCAAGGCTGTGTTAGTTCGGGTCAGAGGCCACCGGCTGCACGAGTGGGTGGTGGGCAGTTTGCACCAGAGCTGCCAGGAGGCCTGGGCTGCTACGGATTCCAGTGTGGGCCTCTCAGATACCCTTTAGCTGCCCTGCTCGGGGGGCAGGGGGTTCGACCTCCCGGGTAGAGGAAGCGGGGACTCTGGGTGCCTCTGCCTGCCATCTGCCTCTCCCTGAATGTCCAGGGCTTGTTGCGTGCTCCAGGGCCCTCTGGGCACGTCTATCTGTATCGACTCTGGGGTCTCCAGCACAGCAGAGCGGACGTTTGCTATGACGGGGGTGCGGCGGGCGTCTGCTGATGTCTGACTCCAACTTGTCCACACCCGTTTTCTGCTTACGTGGCTGGGCAAAGGAGGGAGCGGGGTAGGCCGGAATCCCGGGGCAGGTGGCTCTGGGCCCAGGAGCCAAGGCCATTGGGCCTGGTTTCTGCGTTGCCAGGGGGTCGCCTCACGGCTGGTGTCCACCCCAGGGAGGAGCGGGCACAGTGGCTCCAGCCCTGACTTGGGTTCTCTTCTGAGTGGACGAGGAGGCCCCCCGGGCAGAGTTTGCCCGGTGGCTCCCTGCTCTGGTGTCGTCCTCCGTCATGTTCCGGGGAGCAGAGAGACGGGGCCGGCACAGCGTCCATGGACAGCTGTCAGCAGGTCAGGAACGCCAGGTCCCTCTGGCTGAGTCACCCCCGACCTGGGTGTCAGGGCTTAAGCCAACATCCATGTCCACGCCTGGGCAGTTGGGCCCGTCCTGGGGTGACACCCCCCACCCCGCCGTCTGCAGAGGGCAAGGCTCCCGCGGGGGCCCCGGGTGTGGGGCAAGCCTGGCCTCGGTGGCCTTTGTCTCCTCTCTGCTGGCCCCAACGTCCAGCTCGGATGGCGGGCCAGTGGGCAGCCCACGTGCCAGAGATTGTCGGGCCTCACTGGCTGGGAACACTGTGCTGCGGGGGGCCCGCTCCCCTCGGCTGAGGTCCAGGTGTTCCCATGACACCCTGGGAAGGGTGCCCGAGGACTTTGTGATGGAGGGTTGGGGCGGGCCGGGCTCAGGCTGTCTCTGGAGCACGGCGTCCGCTGCTGGCTGGGTGGAGGCGTCCCCATCACCTGAGTGAGGAAACCGGGGGCCTGGGGAGCTCGGGGTCTGGACCCGAGGCTGCCCTGAGGCTTGATGTGGTTCCGCTGTGCGTGCTGGGCACCGCGACCTCGTTTCTGGCTCGTGGGGCCACAGGCCAAGTCCGTACGTTTAAAGCTACGGTGATGAGCCGGACATGCGACGCTCCATCTGGGCAACCCCAGTGGGGCTTTTGCTTTGAAGAGCTGAGCCCTGTCACTCTCTGGAGTCGCCTCCGGGCCACATCCCCAGGCCTGGTCCCCATTTTTCTTTTCTCACGGAGTCACCCCAGCTCTGCTGGGCCATCCCCCGTCTGTAGAACGGGCTGGCAGCCCGGCAGTGGCCCAGTGTGCGGGAAGGCAGGAGGCTGAGGCCCCGTGAGGAGCCCAGGGTCACAGAGCTGCTGAGGACGCGTGTGGTGTCTCTCGCTGCTGCTGCCTGGGCCTTTCCACGTGGACCTGGAGGCCCCAGGCTTAGGACGGCGAAAGCCTGAGCACGGCCCTGGCAGGGAGGGGCGGGCGTCCTGCAGTGGGGCGGGGAGCAGGCGAGGGTCTTGGCTCTCGGCCTCTGGGAGCCTGGGGGGCTCTGGGAGCACGAGGGGCGGCTGGCTGCCCCAGGCCCCGTCTCTCCATCGGGAACCAGAACGGCCAAGGGGCACGCTTGGTGATTGGGGGGGGGGGGTCAGTTTTTTTCTCCTTGTAAATTTCTTATAAAATTCATTTCTAAAAGGACACAGTTCAGCAGGTTGTCACACGTTCAGAGTTGTGCAACTATCACTTTCTAAAAATTTATTAATTTGTGCAAGTTCCTGGCCACCCTGGGTCTTGGTTGCTGCGCGCGGGCTTTCTCTAGCTGTGACGAGCGGGAGCTGCTCTTGGTTGCGATGCACGGGCTTCTCACTGCCGTGGTGTCTCCAGCTGCAGAACGCAGGGCTCTGGGGCACATGAATTTCAGTTGCTCCCCGGCTTGTGGGGTCTTCCCAGGCCAGGGGTCGAGCCCGTGTCCCCTGCATTGGCAGGCAGAATCTTAACCCCCGGACCACCAGGGAAGTCCCAGCCGTCACTCTTGGTTATAGAATGTTTTGTCCCCCACGAAAGAAGCCCGCCCCCCACACCCTCCCCCAGCTCTGGCAGCCCCGATCTGCGGCCTGGCTGCCTGTGGGCACTCACGGCCCCGCTGCTGGCTGTCCGCGTGGCGTGCCCCTGGGTCTCTTGGCTTCCCACGGCTGGTTGGCACGGCACTCCTGGGTGTGGGGGGCTCACCCGGTGAGGGCGCTCCTGTCCTGAACCGGGACAGTGACTGTTCGTTGAGCACCCGCTCTGTGCCAGCGGCTTCTTGCTGCGAGAGTGGCCTCTGTTCTGCGTCCACCTCTCCGCCGGACCTGACCGCGCTTCAGGCTTGGCTGGTGTCCCGACTCACAGGCCGTGGAGCCGAGATGGAAACCACAGTCCCTCCCCGCCACCGCCGCGTCCGTGTCCGCCTTCCCAGAGACGGCCCGGCACGGCCTCTGCCTCGGCCGTCCCTTGAAGGCCCCTTGTGCCTGCAGGGTGCCCCCAGGGGGGACCGTCCCACCCCCAAGGGTGCAGCGACTCCCTCCACCTTGCCGCCAGGCCCGTCTTTGTCACTTCGTGCCCCCCGGGTGCTGGCTGCGGTCCTGGGTGCCCCCAGCTCCCTGCAATCCTCTCCTCCACCCTCCCGGAGCTTCTCGTTCTGAGAGCCGTGGCCCAACTCTCCCGTCCGCTTCCCGGGCTGATGTCTTTCCTCACGTCGTGTCTTCAGGGTGCAGTTTAAAAATTCAGTGCAGAGCAAGTAATCCGCCTGCCTCGTTTGCTCTGTCCCCAGAGAGCTCGTGAGCGGGAGACAGCGTGCCCTGCGGGAGGTGTCTTATCTGGTCCCCATTGGCTGGCAAGGGGCCAGGGTCTGTCCCTGGGGGGCCCCCACATGCTAGACCCTGTAACCCACTATGGAGGGGGGCGCCCCGTGTGGGGACACGGACGTCGGCGGGTTCTGTGTCCTCGCTGTGTGACCCAGGCCCGGCGCACAACCTCTCTGAGCTGCTGCCTGTTCTCGGGACGAGGGTGGCGTCTGCCGCGTCGATCCTGAGGGTTCAGGAGACGAGCACACTCGCTCCAGGCACAGTGCCTGCGGATGATGGCACGGGGCCACCCACACCGTCACCCCACCCCCAGCATGCAGAGCCAGGGGCTCGAGGGGCCGAGCGAGGTGGGTGCGTCCGTGGCTGAGGGCCGGAGACCCTGTCCCGTCGGGGCGAGTGCTCCTGTCTCTGCCGACGGCCCCGGGTGTGACCAGGCCCACACAGCACGTTCTGGAAGGAGCCTCAGGCTGCAGGAGTGCGCCTGACCATCACCTTGGTCTGCGTGTTCCCGTGGGGCCCTTGGCAGTGATGGGCAGGGGCCGCCTCGCACATGTGGGGGGAGCGGGCACCCTCGCTGGCGAGGTTGGAGGTGGGACTCTGCCCACCAGTGATGCAACCGCCAGAGTGAGGAACGAGGTGGGCGCTCGTGGTCTGCCGCCTGAAACCTGCCTGTTTCTAGGAAAACAGCAAAATGGGATGGGGGTGCAGCCCTGTCTCTCTCGTTAGCAGGGGTGAGCGTGAGGGGGGCATCCTCAGCTCCTCGCCCCCTCCTCTGTGTCTGGGCCAGGGTTCCAGGGAGAGCAAGGCCCAGGGGGAGGGGATCAAGCCCGCTCTGGAGGGGTGCCCGGCCTTGGGCCGTTGGAACAAGAGGCCTCCCCAGGCCGTGATGAGGCAAGTGTCGCCCCCCAAAGCCCCCTTTGTCTTCTCGCCCCTCGGGCCCCCTGAGCCCCCGTGGGAAGTAGCATGGACACCCACCCCGCCGCTCTGCTCTGGGAAACACATCTTGTGAGGATGACCACACTTGCCTTTGCTGGTTGGGGTTTGGTGACGCGGTGTGCGGTCCTGGGAGCAGGCGTGCGTCGCCCCTGGTGAGGGAGAGGGCTCCTCGGAGGGCGCGGGGGGGCGAGGCCCAGGCTGTCCCCACCATGGAGGGGCTGGCCTGTGGTGGGGAGAGCGGCTGCCAGGAGGGGCCGTGGGCAGCCCTGTGGCTCCCTCAGCAGGGTCTCCCCAAACCCACCGCGGGCTGGCCGTGTGCCCACTGCCCCCAACCTGCGGGGTCCTTGCCTGTGTGTGCTTACGGCGGGAACTTCACCTCCAGGGCACACATGTGCTCGTGACTGTGGGTCAGGGGGGTCCCTGCCGGTCCTGGGTGAAGTCTGGGAGGGCTCAGCTGTGGGGGGACCCTCCGCATGGGACGCTGGTCCTCCCTCCACATCCATCACAGCACCTCCCATCCTGTCCCCACGACGCTGCCCGCACACTGCTGCCCTTGACCCCGAGAAGCTCAGGGCACTGAAAGGTGGCCCGGAGGTCCTGTTTTAGGGACATGTCACCGGTCACTGGCCCTCCCCCCAGGGAGGAGAGGAGGGAGACAAGCTGTGAGGCTGAGGCTGAGGCCGGGCCCGGCCCTCCTCGCTCAGGGCTGGCCCTGGCACAGGAGCCCTGGTTTGGGGTATCCAGTTGGTGCTCAGCGATTATCCGGGTGGCAGGTCGAGGGCACACGTCTGGGAGCTGATGGCCTCTGTGCTGCCGCAGAGTCGTGTTTTCAGGCCGCACTCCTGCCCCCGTGGAGGCAACTTTGGGGTCTCAGCTGTTAATGACGTGAGCCCGGGCAGCCCCGGGTGCTCACCTGCGGGCTCAGAGACGGAGGGGACATGGAGCGCTGTGCACTGTCACCCTGGCCGCCCGCTGATGCCTGCCGCGCACCACGGTTAATCACGGCCGCCCTGAGCCCAGGGTTGGGGGCGCTGCACGCTAATTGGCGGGTACGTGGTCGGGCATCCCCCAGGGGCCAGGCTGCTAACTGCCTGTGGCCTCCGGCACCCGTCCCCCACCCAAGTCCCACCCGCCCCCTCCTGCCTCTTCATTCACCGCCCGGTGCTTGGAAATGACGCTGGTCCCCAGAGACCTGCTGATGGTGTGGGGCGCAGAGATGGAACGGGGGCCGGGCAGCAGGTGGCCCCGAGTCCCCGCGTGCAGGGGCAGTGTGAGGCCTCCTCAGTGAGGCCCCGGCTCCCCCTCCATCTGCCCGGCCCTGGGAGGTTGACCCCGCGTCCCCCACCCCCCCCGGGCAGTGCAGTCTCCCGGGTGATTGCTCGGGGCGCTTGGTGCATCCGTTTTCTTTCTTTTTTGGCTCCAGAGCGCGTGGGCCCACTTCCTCCACCCACAGGGTGGCCCCGGGCACACAGGCAGTCCCCCGCCCGCTCTGTGGCTCTGTGTCCTTCCAGCAGCAGCGGGTGTGGCGGGAGGTTCTGGTCAGCGCTGCTGACCTGTGTCTGGGTGGATCGGGGCCCACTGCCCCACACGGCGGGTCCCTGGGGTGGAGTGCGGACACTGCTTCGCGACCTCTGCAAGCTGCCCCGCCAGGGGGCGGTTCGGGGTACAGGGCTTCCCTTCATCAGCTGTCCGCGCCCTGGGGCGGGCCGGGTCAGCCCACCTCCCACCTCTGCCACCTTGAAGCTGGTGTCCCGGGCAGACCCCCGACCCAACAGACACAGCTAGTTTCAGAATCTTGGAGTTTGTCCTGGGGAGGGGGGTGTGGGAAGGCAGCCAATGGCCCCCTGGCATTGGCCATCCCCAGTGGCCGTGACAGCTGGCCGAGGCTGGAGCTTGCCCAGCCAGAGGGTGGCGCAGCTGGGGTTGGGGGCGGGTGACGTCCTGACCTAGGGGTGGGCCTGGTGTTGGCCTGGGCGACTCAGGGTTGCAGAGCTGCTGGTGTGTGGGCCATGGTTGGTTGGTCCATTTGGAGAATCAGATCACACCTCAGGGGCAGCAGCCTTCAGGCGACCGCCCACCGGCCAGGCCCTGACGGGTGGGGGCTGGGAGCAGGGGCCCCCGGCCCTGGCGTTGTTCTGCAGGTGACTGAGCCCTTAGACAGCCCCGGCTCTGTCTGGACCAGTGTCTCCCACGGGGTCACCCTGTACAGTTGTGCAGGTCGCGCACAAGCCTAGGAAGTGCACTGAGCCAGCCACAACGGCGCACCTTCCCGGGGGCACAGCTCCGTGCCAGCCTCTGTGGGCCTCGGGGTCCAGCCGCTCTGCCTCCCGGCCCCTGCTGAGCCCACACCTGGCCGGGGGGTCCTCGGGGCAGAGAAGGGCCCCGAGTCAAGCACCCTGGCCCGTAGGCTGCCCTCCTCCCCATCAGGCAGAGGTGTCACCGGGGAGCAGGGGTGTGGTCGGTTGAAGAGACGAGAGGACCAGGGTCTTGGCCCCTGGGACCAGGCAGGTTCTGCAGAGAACCCCAGGGGGAGCTATGGAAGCCGTGAGTTTCTGCTTGCAGCGGGGGCGGTGTGTGCTGGCCCCCTGGTTCAGGCCTCTCAGAGGGGCGCTTTGTGGGACGGGGCATCTCGGGACGTCGGCAGTAGGCTCCTGGGCCAGGTCTGCCGCCTCCGGGTACCCGAGCTGGCCCAGCCTCCACGGGCAGGGCCCCAGCTGAAGCTCTGCTGTGTGACAGAATCAGGGGCATCCTTCCGGGCCTGCCCTAGACCTGGTCCCTGGGTGTTCTTCGTGGCTCACAGGTTTGGGGGGTCTGTGTGTCATGGGGCACCATGTGGGCGTCTGAGGGGCCTCTGACCCCCGACCGCAGCCCAGAGCAGCATGAGGTGTGGGTGTGCACACAGCCCGGCTGCATGGGGCCTGGGCATGCCTCTGGGGGCCCCCCAAACCGCAGACTCCAGCCTCCCAGGGGCCATGCTGCCAGGATAGGCCTCGAACTAGAGACCCACCTGGGGGCGGGGGCATCGGGGGCTGAGGACGGGGAGACTGGACGCACTGTCGCCCCCTCCCCCCGCCCCTCAAGGGAGCTGCTCTAGGCGGGCGCCTTCCCATCGGGGCCCCAAGTCCTCTCGGCCCCCACACCCTGTGCCCTCCTCACCTGCTGCCCCTGCAGCTGCCGGAGGCGGAACTGCCCTGCAGACCTGGACGCCTCCAGCCATGCCGGCTGCCCATCCCCGCCACCCTCTCTAGGGGAGAAGCCCAGGGGTGCAGGCTCAGGGTGGGGGTTCCTTCCAGGGCGGGGGGGAGGGAGTGGAAAGCAGGTCATAGCGATGGTTGCACAACGTTGTGAACGTGCTGACTGGCCCGTGCGCCATAAACCCCACGTTACAGTTCAGTTCTCGAAATAAAGTGAGCTCGTTTGATGTCCTAGTAATACAGGCCTCTCTCAGCCCCACCCCTGGCCAGGCCTGGCCAGCAGCAGGCCCACTGCCCCCCGCCCCCCTACAGCATCCTGTAAGCCCCCCACTTGCTTTCCTGGGGCCCAGTCCCCATCCACATTGGGGGGACCTGCTTATTCCCCTGGCTCTTCCAACCCCCTTTGGGGTAGAGATGGGGTGAGCAGCCCTGGGGAGGGGCGGGCAAGGCACGCCCACCTGGTCGGTCGGTCGTGTCCCCCGTTCCCGCCTGGGCCCCAGGCTGGGCCGCGGCGTCTGTGGAGCCTGGCCTCTGCTCAGGCGCTGTGTCCTTCTCCCGCAGGGTCTTCACTGAGCAGCGAGTCGTCCCCCGTCTCCTCTCCGGCCACCAATCACAGCTCCCCAGCCAGCACGCCCAAGCGCGTGCCCATGGGCCCCATCATCGTCCCCCCTGGGGGACACAGCGTCCCCAGCACGCCCCCCGTGGTGACCATCGCCCCCACCAAGACCGTCAATGGCGTCTGGAGGAGTGAGAGCCGCCAGGTGAGTGGGGGGCTGATGGGGGGTCATCTCGCGCTGAGATCCGCTTCCCTCCGAGGGAGCGAGGGACAGCAGCTGCCCGGAGGGTCTGTGTGTCACGAGAACACTCACGGGACTCGTGGTCTGGGGCTGACCTGGTGAGCCCCGCAGAGCGGGGTCAGGACAGATTTGCTCTAGGGCCGGCGTCCCAGCTGTGGACAGGCTCAGCCCCTCCCAAGGCCTCTCCGCTCGGCGTGTGGACGGCCGTCCCGTCCCCGCAGCCTCACGGGCTCTTCCTTCTGTGCCTGCCTGCGTCCCGGTCTCCCCTTCTTCCAAGGACACCAGGGCCCGCCCTAGTAACCGCATGGCGCCTCGATCACCCCTGCACACACACCCCGTTTCCCGCACATGGTCACTTTGTGAGGTCCTGGGGCCTGGGACTCCCACAAAGGAATCTGGGGGGGACACAGAATGGTGTTTGCAGATCATGAGCACTTCTTGTAAACATGAGCTATTATTATTCCTGTCTGTTGCACCCGCGTGTTCACAGCTCGCCTTTACTGACACTTGTCTTAACTGTCGAGGCCTGCCCGCCCCAGGAGGCCTTCCCCACACTTGGCGGGGCTCCCTAGGTCTGCGCCCAGGCGGTGTGGCTCCTCGGGGGACTCGCCCCCGCACCCCCAGCCTGGAGGGCCCTCCTAATTTAGAACGCGGCCACTGCGCCGAGCTCTGGATGTTTCTGCCGAGTCCCCAGAGGGCCAGCGCCACTTGGAAGCACTAATTAAACCCGGAGAAAGCAGAAGGGGGTTGGGGGACGGCGAGTCTTCGGCTCGGCCCCCAGCTCTCTGCCCTGAGAGCGGGAGGGGGCAGCCTCTGTCCGCAGAATGGGGAGTCCCTGAATTCCCGGAAGGAGGCCAGGACCCAGCTAGGGGTAGCCCTACCTTGACCCCCACGTGTGAGGTGCAAGACCCTCCTGGCTCATCCCTGGGCTGGGCAGGGCCCAGCAGGGCCGATCCTGGCCAGAGCGGGCTGCGGACGCCCAGCTGTCCCCTGGGCCCGGTTTGAGGGAGAACCAGGGTCCGCACCACAGTCTCCTGCCTCCAGGGGACCCGTTGCCCCCTGACAGTCAGCCCTGACCTCGGGGCCCAACCACCTGCCTCTCCTCTCGCCCCTGGGGCCCGGCGGTTGCTCGTCTTGCCCTGCGCCCAGCTGTTGCCCTTCCAGGCCCAGGAGCCTCCTCAACGGGTCCCTCCTGGCCATGGGCCCCTTCCCCCGAGCTCGACTCTCCTCCGAGGGTCCTCACAGCCTTGGAAGTACCGAGTGACCCCGAAAAAGGGCTGTGGGGGCCGTGCTCTAGCTGCTTAGCACGCGGTGGCTGGTGAGCGAGACATGGGCGCCCCAGGGAGGTGGGCCAGGGCTGGGGAGCGGCGAGGGATGGGCTGGCTGGCACAGAAGCTCAGTGGAGGGTGTAATCCTCCTGGGGGGGGGGTGCTGGGGACAGGAGGGGGAGTCGTTTCCTGGCGGGGAAGCTTGGGGGGTGCTCTGCATGGGGGTCGCCGGCATTTCCCAGGTGGCGGGAGCAGCGTGGGGACAGATGAAATGACAAATAGTCTATTTGAGAGCTAACAGGGCGTGTCTGCCCGTCTGCCTGGTGGAAGCCGCTCTAATCACCAGAGAATGGAGGGTCCCCCTCCCCATCCTCCCTCTCTCTGCAGCTGCACCCGCGACCGCCGCTCAGCAGGGAGAGCCGCCCGCAGGTGCTCCCAGGGCAGCAGCTGGGGCTCCCGGGCGCGGCCCCCTGACCTCCTGCCCAGGTGCCCGTCGCAAGCTTGGCGGGGCTCCAGGCAGGCGGGGGGGCGCGTGGGTCTTGCCCATTGGACCCCCTGCCCGCCGGCCGCCACCCCCAAGCCTTTCCCGCCCGGGAAGGTGCCATCTGGCTCCACCGCCTTCGAGCCGGGCTTTGTCCTGCTGCGGGCTTTGTCCTGACGGGGCTAACCCGCCTGGGGCTGGTGCACCCGCGGCCTCGCTCTGCCGTCTGGTCCAGCAAAGGGGGCCAGGAGTGGCCTTAGCTCCTCTCCAGGCTGTACGCATGGGTCCCCTGGGGCTGCCAGCCAGGAGACAGCGTCCGGGTCCCCTCGCTGTGAGGCCCAGCATTTCCCGGGGGCCGCCCTGTACCTCGGGGGCCTCAGGCTCCAGCCACTGTGTCCCCGCCCAGGCAGCAACCCCCCCCCCCCCCCCGGTCAGTCCAGCACAGGGCCCCGGAGCAGCAGGGTTTAAGGCCTTCACCCCGTTTGTGGCGGCCGGGTCCCATGCCAGCGGAGGGGGTGTGTGGGGGGGGTGCAGCTGCGACTGCAGGACCCGCCTCTTGTGCACGTCCAACCGGGGCGGGGGGTGCCCCCTCCAGGGCCTTGGAGACCAGGGGGGAGTGCCGGCTCCCTGCCCCGACCTGCGTGTGGGGCTCACCCTCGACGCCCCCCAGCCTGGTGAACCCCCCTGGGAAAGGGGGAGTCGGAGCCCACATGCAGCCCTGGTCACAGCATGGCCAGCGGCCTGTCTCCTGCGGTGAACGCCGCTGCCCTGTCTTCCGGGGCCCGGGAGGTGCTGTGGCCGCCCGCCCGGGTGTTCCACAGACATGATGACGGGTGGGCTCCTCCCCTGCGGGGGCTGTGCGGTCCGTCCCATGCCCCCCCGCGCGGGGAGCGAGCCTACCTGAGGCTCTGCGATCCCCGTCTCCTGACCTGATGGGGGAGACGTCAGGCAGACAGGGGAGGGTGTCTCCCTGACCCTTTGCTCTGGGGCGGACGGACCTCGGCCTGCGTCCTGCTCTCCTGTCGCTGACCAGGGTGACCGGGCCAGGCCTGACGCCAGGTGAGGGGGGCACCGTGCGACAGCCTGTCCATGGCCTGCCTGCTCAGAGCTGGACACTTCTGCGGGTGGGCCTGCAGGACGTTCCTCCATGTGGCCAGGGCTGGTGGGGGCCACCGCCTCCTGCTTCCTGCCTCGAGTGAGCCCCTTCTGGTTTCCTGGGGTCTCCCTCCTGAGCCCTCCAGGCCCCTCTGTTGGTCAGGAGTCTGGGCAGACGGGCCCACAGCCCCCACCAGTGTGCAGAGGTCCCTAGGCAGGTCTGGCCCCACAGCTGCCTGCTCTGGCCAGAGCCAGGGCCGCCAGGGTCTGTCTGGCGGTAGGGAGAGGCTGGCCTGTTGGCCCGGGGCAGTGCCAGCTGCTCAGCCACATCTTCCAGGGGCATCAAGGCCCAGTGATCTGTGAGGCAGGCCGGCAGCTGCCACCTGGGCCCTTGGGACGCTGGCGTGAGCGGGTGGGCGGTGGTCAGGGGGCTCAGTGGCTGTCACCCCCGCCGCAGCGCGGAAACTGTCAGAAGAGAGCATCACGAGCACATCCCTCTGAAGCTCGACCGCTCCTCTGTGTCCGGAGGAAGCCCTGACCTGCTGCCGGTGGCCGAGGTCTGAGCCACCCCCAGCCCTGACCCACACTGTCTTCTCCAGCAGGACGCCGGCTCCCGGGGCAGTGGCGGTGGCCGCGAGCGCCTCATTGTGGAGCCCCCGCTGCCCCAGGAGAAGGCGGGGGGCCCGGCCATCCCCTCCCACCTGCTCAGCACCCCCTACCCCTTTGGCATCTCGCCTAGCTCCGTGGTGCAGGACTCCCGCTTCCCACCACTGAAGTAAGTGTGGGCTGGGGGCCAGGGGGCGGGACCCCCGAGGTTCTGGCTGCTGTGAGTCCACACCAGCTGAGCCCGAGAGCCGCCAGATGGCGGCCCTGCCCCGGGCTGGTAGCCCTGCTGGCCGTTGCCACTTGAGCTCACAGCGGGCTCGCTGCCTGCCTGACCCTAAACCCCCAGCCTGGCTCCTGGGGCGGTTCCCCCCGGCTGCATGTAACAGGCCCGTGCCCCCGGTGAGGGCCAGTGAGGGGCCAGGGCGGCCCGAGGAGCGGCAGCTGCCCAGCTCTGGGCCCTGGGCCTCCGGCGGGGACTGCCCTTGGGAGGAGGGAGGCGGTGGCGGGGTGTGGGGCGTGGCCCACGCGCCCGGAGCTCACCGCCGCCGCCCCTCCCACCCGCAGCCTGCAGCGGCCTGTGCACCACGTGGTGCCCCCCAGCACGGTGACCGAGGACTATCTGAGGAGCTTCCGGCCCTACCACACGGCCGAGGACCTGCGCGTGTCCTCCCTGCCTCCGCTCGGCCTGGACCCAGCCACCGCTGCGGCCTACTACCACCCCAGCTACCTGGCCCCACACCCCTTCCCGCACCCGGCCTTCAGGTGAGGCGTCCAACGTCCCCAGCCACCCGCGGGCAGGCCCTGGTCAGAAACCAGACACCCCCGGGGGCGGACCCTGGGGCCGGCCGCTCCCCCAGCCTCCGAATGAGCCGTCCGGAGCTTGCTCCTGGAGGGAGACTCTCCTCGCACCAGCCGGCCTCCCTGCCTCCTCCGTTTCTACCGAGGGTTCCATGGGTGCTTGACTGTTAGTCCACGGAGTGCGTGGTTCACATGCGGCAGGTGGAGACGGCACTGGGTCTCCGCTTTGTGTAGTAGCTTCCCGGGTCAGACGGTCAGACCTGGAGGGGCCCCACTGGGCTTGGCCTGGCTGAGCTGAGGGGTGGCAGGCAGGGTCTTGTGCCCTCCGGGAGTATGGGGCTTTGGGGCTGGCTATGGAAGGGGGCTCTCGCGGGACTTTTGTGGAGGCCCCGTCCGGCGCTCCCACATCAGTGCCGTGTTTGGCGGGGGGCTGGGTCCCGCCTTCCTCTCTGCCTTGGCTGCTCACCAGCCCCTTCTGCCCCCCACAGGATGGACGACTCCTACTGCCTGTCAGCCCTGCGGTCCCCCTTCTACCCCATCCCCGCCCCCGGCTCCCTGCCCCCACTGCACCCGTCGGCCATGCACCTCCACCTCTCAGGGGTCCGCTACCCTCCTGAGCTCTCCCATTCATCCCTGGCAGCACTGCACTCGGAGCGGATGTCCAGCCTCAGCGCTGAGAGGTAAGCCAGCCCCGTCCCGGGGCCCTCAGCTCACCATACCAGAGCCCGGCTGGCCAGGTGTGTGTGGACAGTCCACCCCTGCAGAAGGGGCGCTGCCGGGAGGTCCCGGCCACTGTCTGGGGGCTGTCCTCACAATCGCTGGCCCCGGCCAGGAGCCTTCCAGGCGCCTGGAGAGTCTCTGTCCACGACTTTTGGTCTCCAGTGGAGGCTGAGTTTTCTTGGCGCATTAGTGAGAGCAGAACCTGGCCCACGGCCCATCCCCGTAGAGAGGAGAACCCCGGGCTCAGGTGTGAGCGCCTCGCTCCTGGGTGTCACATCTCCGTGCTCACCCCCAGGTTGCAGGTGGACGAGGAGCTGAGGCGGGAGAGGGAACGGGAGCGGGAGCGGGAGGCCGACCGTGAGCGCGAGAAGGAGCGGGAGCGCGAGCGTGAGAAGGAGCGCGAGCGTGAAAAGGAGCTGGAGCGTGAGAAGGAGCGTGAGCTGGAGCGCCAGCGGGAGCAGCGCGCCCGCGAGAAGGAGCTGCTGGCCGCCAAGGCGCTGGAGCCGGCCTTCCTGCCCGTGGCCGAGCTGCACGCACTGCGGAGCCACGCCGCCGAAGAGCGGGCCAAGCCCTCGGAGCAGCTCACCCCGACCCGTGCAGGTACCTGGGAGGCTGGTGGCTTCGGTCTGAGCGAGGACGGGGGCGGGGTGCGGCCCTGGATCAGGAGCCGAGGACAGGGATGTCCACTAACCAGATTCAGAGCTGGTGTGAAGGCTGGTAGATCACTGGGATTGTGCACCATAGTACAAGCAAATTCTTAGAGATGGTAGGTTAAAAAGATAATCAAAGCTTAGTTTTTAGCATACTTTATTTTACTATATACTTAAACAGTGAATTTGCACAGCAGCCCGTCTAACCTTCCTTTTTAATGTACTTTACATACACTATACTTAGGTACAACCTTAGTTTCCACGGTTGTCTAGCCTCTAGTGTGGGCGATTCCCCCCAGAGCTCAAGTCCGCTCTGCTGGGTGGTGTGAGCCCGTCCAGGGTGTCACTCAGATGAGGCGGGACCCCCGGGGAGCAGCCACGTCCTGCTGTTCTTGGCGCGGCCCCACGGAAAGGGGGCGCCCTTCTCCAGGGCGGGGCGGGTTGAGCCCAGCGTCAGGACCCCCGCCCTGCCCTGACGGCCTGCCCCGCCCACAGAAAAGCTGAAGGACGCGGGCCTGCAGGTGCCCAAGCCGGTGCAGCACCCCCTGCACCCGGCGGCCGCCCCGCCCCACGCGGCGCCCGGCCTCCTCGCCAGCCACGGGCTCTTCTCGCTGCCGGGCAGCAGCGCGGCCACAGCCCTGCTCCTGCAGCGCACCAACGAGGAGGAGAAGTGGCTGGCGCGGCAGCGGCGCCTGCGGCAGGAGAAGGAGGACCGCCAGTCGCAGGTGTCGGAGTTCCGGCAGCAGGTGCTGGAGCAGCAGCTGGACCTGGGCCGGCCGCCGGTGCCCGCGGACCCCGAACACCGGCCGGAGAGCGCCAGGTGGGCCCCAGGGGGCGGGGGAGCCTGCGTTTAGCGAGCGCCTCCGGTCTGCTGCCTGTGGAGTGCTGTCCCCTGGGTTCCGTGTCACCTTCTAAGACCCCCGTCTGGGCTGGGAGGAGGGAGACGGGGGAGGAGGAGGGTGCTCAGTTCAGGGGCTTCATCCGCCAGGAAATGTGTCCACAGCCGGCCCGGCCCACCCTGCAGGGCAGGCTTGGTGCCTGAGGGGGCCTGCCGAGAAGCTTCCATGGATACTTAATCTCTGTGCTAGCATCTCTCTCTGCCCGAACTGGAACAAGAAGGGGACTCCCTTTGATTTTTAATCATACAAAAAGTTAATTTTATTTTTTTATAATTTTTTTTTAAAATAACCCATTTTTACCTGCCCTGTTGTTAAAAAAAAAAGTAACACAACTTCTCGAGAGGCCTTTGGTCCTATCTTTGGGACCCTGGCTGCCGACACTCACCTTGTGAGCTGGGCCCCTTCGTGGAGCTGACCCGGGGCCTTGCTGCTCCCACCTGCTGATCTGGCTGTCACCCTGTGTCCCCCCCCACCCCACCTTCCCTCCAGGGCTCCTTCCAAAGGCCCAGGTGGAGACCCTCAGCCAGAGTTGGTGGCAGGAGCAGGTCTAGGCCTGGGGGACGCTGGGCCCTGCCCCGTCTCCTCCACTGTGCACGGAGTTCGGGCGGGAGGGCTTCTGAGCCTCTTCCCAGCCCTCGGCGTCCACGGTGCCTTCTTCTCAGGATGAGAAACGCTTAAGGTGTCGGGCGAAGGTGTGAGTGCCACTTGGCTGCCTCCCTCTCTGCTCCAGCTCCTGCTGGCCAGTGGGTTTCTGTATCCTGGGCGCAGCTGACCCATCCAAGCCCCTGCCTCGGCATCCACTGATCAGGGCGCCTGGGGAGGATTTGCCCGGCTAGCTGGGTGTGGCAGGAGTGAACCACAACCAGATCCCTGGCTAGGCCTCTGTCTTGCTCAGGCAGTCTGGCCTCGGTGAGCCAAGCAGGACATTCTGCTGCACATGGTTCCCCTGCTACTCCGGACCCACGCGGGGCCACGTAAGGGCTGTCTCATCTACTTCTGAGCCGCCCTCTGCTCCCGTGATCCCCTAGGGGGCCGTGCGAGCAAGCGGTGCACGCCCACCATCTCCTGAGGAGTTCAGGGCACGCTGCCTCCCTCGGCCTGGGGCCCCACGATCCCAGTGCAGCTGTCGGCGCACGGGCTGCTGCTGCAGCAGGCGTGGCCTCTGCCCCCTGGTCAGGTGGTGCCCACGGCAGCATGACATTCTCTCGGGGCCCTCTGATCAGAGCTAGAAAACCAGTCTGTGCCTGGCTCCAGCGCAGGACGTTTATTCTGGCACCAGGTTTTATGCCTTGAGGGACGCAGCTTTTCGATGCGGTTGGTCCCTTTGGTATCTGCCCGGCAGCAGTGCAGTGGCCTCTGGGGCTGTGGTGGGCCGGCCCCCTCCTCGCGCAGGAGCAGCCCTGGGTACCTGCCTCCTGTGCCTGCCGTGGCCTCTGCCCTTTCCCCTCCAGTCCCCTCAGATGTTGCCCTCGGTCACCTTGGCAGCATGGGGCTTCGCTTAAAAAATAGTAGGTGAACTGGAGAAAACTGCAGCCAAGTAGCCTCCTGAAGGTTGAATTTGAATTCTGTTTAAAATGCACCAGGGAGAGAGGCACTTGGTTCGGCCTTGAGGCAGAGCTGCTGATCTGAGGCCGGTGGGAGGGGGTGTGCGCTCTGCCGGTGACCTGGGACAGGCCCCGGTCTGGTCCTCAGAGACCCTCTGGGTGTGGCTGCTGCTCCCTGGGCACGTGGGGTCGCTTCGGTCCTGACAGGGACCACCAGGGGGGAGCAGCTGGCCGTGAGGGTCTCCTCGGGGAGTCTCCCCAAGTCCAGTCAGGCGGGCAGACCCCTCAAGCTGGTCTCTGGCTGCGATCTGTGAGCACAGTGTGGGGAGAGGAGGCCGGCCCACCCCCACTCTCTCCCACGGGTGACACGCCTTGGGCTTGGGTCCTCTCCCAAGCTGGTCTGCACCAGCCTGAGGAGGACGTGGGTCCCTTGGCTGCAGAGAGGAAGGCATGTCCTCCCTCCAGCCCTGGGAAACGGCCCCCAGGAGGCCTTCTCGCCCCCTCCAGTGATGGCTGGGGGCTCCTGGCCCGGGCCCTGGGCTGATGGCTGCTCCTGTCCCCCCCCCCCCCAGGCCGGGACCGACCCGCCATGAACCAGGCAGCCGCGAGCCCCCCCAGCACTTCGGCGGGCCCCCGCCGCTCATCTCACCCAAGCCCCAGCACCCCGCGGTGCCCACGGCCCTCTGGAACCCCGTGTCCCTGATGGACAGCTCACTGGAGCCACGGCGCGCCCCCGAGGGCCACCCCCTGCACGGCCACCCTGCCCCGTTCGAGCCCAGCCGCCCGGCCGCTGTCCCGCTGGTGAAGGTGGAGAGGGTCTACTGCCCAGAGAAGGTGGAGGAGGGGCCCCGCAAGCGTGAGGCAGCCCCCCTGGACAAGTACCCGCCGCCGCCCCGGGAGCCGGGGTCCCTGGAGACGCAGGCCTTCCCCCCCGGACCCAGGCCCTTCCTGGCAGAGCTTGAGCCGGCCACCCCGACTGTCTTGGACCAGCCCCGGGCCTCGCTTGCCCCGCCGGCCACCTTCGGGGAGCCCCCCGGACCCCTGAAGCCAGGCTCGCCCTACCGGCCACCGCCGCCTCGGGGCCCCGACGCGGCCTACGTCTACGACGAGCTCCTGCAGCGGCGCCGGAGGCTGGTCAGCAAGCTGGACCTGGAGGAGCGGCGGCGGCGGGAGGCCCAGGAGAAAGGTCTGCTTCCCCCCCTCGCTCCCGCGCCAGGTGGGGTGGGAAGCGGCCAGCAGTGCCCTGGGATTCCCCGGAAAGCCACCAGGAACAGGAGAGCAGGCCCGGGGTGGGCGTGGCCGTTTTCCACCTGCATCCCCCAGCAGCCGGGTGGGATCAGGGGTCCCAGCCCAGCTCCTTCTGCCAGGTGCCGAGCCCAGCCTCACAGTCAGAAGCGGGGCCCGAGGCCACGTGAGGAGCACGTGTTTGGTCCTGGCTCGGCTGAAGGTCCCCAGAGGGCCTCCCCTCCGCTCACCTGTGAGGTGATGGGGATGGGCCCCAGTGCCCTCGGGCTCTGCTGTTCTGCACGGGACTCTGCGAGCAGGCTCTGTGCCTTTGCCAGGACAGGGAGCCTGCGTGTGCCTGGACCCTCCTGAGCAGGAGGGGGAGTGGATGTGCAGACAGACCTGGGCTGCCCTGGCCCGGGGCTGGAGTGAAGGACAGTCCCCTGCCGGGGGCCTGCGTCAGCCCTGGTGCCCATCTCATGCCCCCACCCCAGCCCTGAGGAGGCCTGGGGTTAAGGGGACGCCTGGCCCAGGGTTGGGGGTGGTCAGGAGCAGCAGGGCCTGGCCTGCGGTGGGCTCTCGGGTCCTAGGGGTGCCCCATGTGTGTCCCTGGAGAGGCGAGGCCCCTTGCCTGGCTGAAGAGCTCTGTGCCCACCTCCAGGATACTACTACGACCTGGACGACTCCTACGACGAGAGTGATGAAGAGGAGGTCAGGGCCCACCTCCGCTGCGTGGCCGAGCAGCCGCCCCTCAAACTGGACACATCCTCCGAGGTATCTGGGGTCTCGCCGCCGTCGGGCCCTGGGCTGGGCTGCGGGCACCCCCTCTCAGCTTCCCCATGCCGGCTGGGACGCCGTCTGGGCGCCCTCCTCCCCCTCCCTGGGCCCGCCCGGCCCGGCCTGGAGTGTCCACAGCGCAACCTTCGAGGCCCAGGAGGCCCCGGGGTCAGCAGGAGCCTCTGCCCACGGTTTCAACCTCATTTGTTTTCTTTCCCAATCTAGAAGCTAGAGTTTTTGCAACTTTTTGGCTTGACCACCCAACAGCAGAAGGAGGACTTGCTGACCCAGAAGCGGAGGAAGCGCCGGCGGATGCTGAGAGAGCGCAGCCCGTCGCCCCCACTGGCGCGGAGCAAGCGGCGGACGCCCTCGCCCAGACTGGCGCTGTCCACCCGCTACAGCCCCGACGACATGAACAGCAGCCCCAACTTCGAGGAGAAGAGAAAGTTCCTGACCATCTTCAACCTGACCCACATCAGCGCTGAGAAGAGGAAAGGTGAGGCCAGGCCTCGGGGCGGGCTCGCTGGGGCGGCTGGGGAGCTCTGAGGAAGCAGGCAGGGCCGTGGGCTCTGGGGGTTGAAGCCGCCCCTCGGCTCTCACGGACTCATCCCCCCGGCTCTTCGCCACCACGCCTCTCTCGGTTGGAAACGGAGAGCAGCCCCTTCAGAACGCTCTTTCTCTTGTGTCGTCCTGTGAAACTGAAGGCGGCTGGTGGTCTGTGCAGTCAGCTATGGACTCCTACCCGCTCTTGCCCCCGGCCATGTCTCCCAGTGCCTCCGGCCCCAGGGTGGGGGGTACGTGCACCCTCCTGCAGCAGAGTGCTCAGCCTGTGTGGTCTCTGGGTCTCCGCTTCGCGGGTGGCTCACGTGGCTGCCGTTTCTAGTTCTGATGGCAGGAGGCGTGGGTGGTCTGTAGCCACGGGGCAGGGCTGGGCCGACACCCACTGTGCGTGGATGGCTCGCCCTTCTGGATCCGTCTGGCCACCAGGGGCCCACTGGGCTGGAATCTGAACTCACCTTCTGGGGCACCTTCCTTGGTCTGCGCCTCAAGCACTGCTTGCTCAGTGCTGGGGGGACACTTGACCTTTCTAGGCCACACCCCCACCGGTCCCCCCTTGCTGAGGCCTGGTCACCTCTTTCTGGAAGGAAGTCCGAGGAAAGCAAGAGTGCTCAACGGTCATTTTAGTTGCTTTCACTCGTTTCGTTCGTTATCAGCCGAACCGGGGGGCCTGGATTTCTCCTCTCCCTTAAGGGGGTAGTGATGCCACCACGACACATCCCTGGGAATGTGAAGGGTTTTGTTCGAGAAGAGCGTCTCTCAGCCAACGGCGATGTGGCCGCCTAGCTGTCAGCAGTTCAACGGGGGCCCCCAGCCTGCGGGGTCACAGGGGGTGTGTGTCCCTCTTCCCTGGTGGCAGCTGTCATGGGAGCCACACATGCGACGGAAGCAGCGGGGAGTGGACCGCCCCGGGAGAGAGCCTGCCCGCCCGAGGCGCAGTGTGGCTTTTCGGGGTTGCTTCCTGTGTTGAGGCCAACTTTTTAAAGTGAGAATTCACCCACAGAGGCTCGCAGGTACCTGTGACTCGCCACACGCGTGCACCGCTCTTCTTGGAACGCACCTGAAACCTTAGGTGGTGACAGCCGAGGAGCCCGGGCTCTAAAGTGAACTTTCTTCCTCTAAAGCCAGCCCGTGCCCATGGCCTCGTGTCTCTCGTTCCGAAGGACTCGCACCTGCCAGCCGCGGCCTGAGCTACACTCCTGCTCCTCTGCCCGCTCAGGAGTGGTGCGACCCCCCCCGGTAATCTCGGGCTGCTTTTCTCACAGACAAGGAGAGGCTTGTTGAGCTGCTCCAGGCCATGAAGCAGAAGGCGCTGTCCGCCGCGGTGGCAGACCCGCTCAGGAGCTCTCCGAGGGACAGTCCTGCCGTGTCCCTGAGCGGTAAGGCCAGCCCCATCCGCCACCCCCGGGACTGTCCCGGGGGTGCCCAGGGCCGCAGGCCACCCCCAGGTCGTCTTCCTCCCGGACACGGCGGGCTTCTTTCTTCCTCTCCCTTCTCTCTCTCAAGCCTCCTGCGCGTGGGAAGACCTCAGCGGAACGCGGTGTCGGCAGTCACGCTCTCGGGTGTGGGGGTCCTGGCTCCTCCGGCGGACACTGCCTGGTGGCGGGTGTGGCTGTGCCGCCGTTTGTCCCCCCGCCGTGGCCCAGGTTTTGGTTCCAGCACTTGCCACTCGGGCTCCATGCTCCCGGCGTGTGTCTCGCAGGCCTTGTGACACCTGCTTTCACTCTCTTTCTCTCTCACGTCTCTCATTCTGCCGTCCTGCTGATGGAGCAGGAGATGCTGGTGGTCCGGCCCTGTTCCTGGCTCCTGATTTAGTCTTTCTCTCTGGATCTGGCTGTGTAACGCCTCTCGGATGACCAGAAGCGACTTGCTCCTTCCTTCACATTCTTCTTCTTCTTCCCAGACACCTTCCTGGGGCACCTTTCAAGGATGGCCTTGCTGCTTAAACATGGCCCGTCTCAGACCAAACAGTGCACGCTGACCTTTACTTATATGGTTCCGGAGTTGGTCCTCTGTCCTAGGTTAGAGATCAGGGTTGGCCTGTTCACGTGTGGCTCTGACCATGTCCCTCACTTTCTGTCTCTTAAGAACCCGCCACGCAGCAAGCCTCCCTGGACACGGAGAAGCCCGTGGGCATCGCCGCCTCCTTGTCTGACGTCCCGAAGGCCACGGAGCCTGGGAGGCTGGAACAGCTCCGGCCTCCGGAGCGCATCCAGGAGCCAGCCCCCACCAGCGGTGAGAAGGCCAGGCCGAGTGAGGCCCCCGGGGGCAAGAAGAGCCTGAGCATGCTCCACTACGTCCGGGGCCCCGTGCCCAAGGACATCCCCGTGCCACTATCGCACAGCATCAATGGAAAGAGCAAGCCATGGGAGCCCTTTGTGGCGGAAGAGTTTGCGCACCAGTTCCACGAGTCCGTCCTGCAGTCTACCCAGAAGGCCCTGCAAAAGCACAAAGGTGAGGAGGCCGCTAGGGCTTGGGGGCATGGCACCTGGTGTTAGGGGCAGGCTCTGCCTCCCAACAGAAGTTATTTCACTTCTGTAAAGCCTTTCATTTTAGTAACGACAGGTGAGGAGCCTTTTCAGCAAAAAATAGGATCCAGGCCTTTCACAGTGCAAGGATTTCCCAGCCTGCCCACAGACTCACCCGGGAACACCACTGTCCCGTGATAACCCGACCCAGTGGCACGTGGTGGGACATTCTGGGTGCTCTGGCCGGTGCCTGAGCCCCCAGAGCTGAGATGCCCCTTGGACATCTCAGTGTGGGAGTCACTGCAGTTCAGAGTACAGGGGTTAGTACGTTTCCTTCCCACTGAATCAAAGGTTAAAATGACTAGAAAAGAATGTTTAGTAACCAACAGCTGAGAGAAAATAATGTGATTATTATTTTCGCATTATTTTTCAAAACAATTTAAAAAATTTCCCTTCTATAACCTGTGAAAAGCTGAATTGACGAAGAAGCGTTTTTAGATAAACAGGTCTGACGGTGTCAGTGTTCTTCAGGCAAAATAATGCTGTCAGCAGGGATGAAATGAAAAAGTGAAGGGTAGTGGTTTTTGATGTGGATTTAAAAAAAAACTGTCCTCTGTTGGATGTTTGTTGTGAGTTCAGAGTCGTATTTTTTAAGAGAGGAAATGTTTTGGCTAGATTAAACTCCTCTGCTCCCTCTGAGACACACCCACAGAGGCTTTTAAGCAGCTTAAGGACTTAACTTTTCCTGCCTGATCTCAACCCTTCCCTGACTTTACACTTGACTGTTTTTTCGGGACTTTAGCATCATCCAGCCTCTGCCAATTTGGGCCGTACGGGTCCATTGACTGCCCAAGGCTGCTGGCCACACGGGGAGGCGGGGCAGACCCAGTCTAGACAGGCCCAGCCCACTGAGATTCTGGCTAGCACAGGGGCATGCACGGGGACCGGAGCGCCTGTGTGTCCTGGGAGAGGGGACGGACGCTTTGGAGACCAGGGCGGTGCGGCTCATAGCCTAACCCAGCCGAGCGTGTCGGCACAGTGTGGGGACCTGCACCCAGCTCCGCCACCATCCCGGCAGCGCTCTCCAGCCTTTCTGATGGAGCCGTCTCTGGTCTCCGAAGGGCCACAGGCCTCGCGCCACTCCGTCGTGTCTGCCGGGACCTGTTGACTGTGTCCCCGGGGGCCCTGTGACAGCCGTCTCCCCTCCTCAGGAAGCGCAGCCGTGCTGTCGGCAGAGCAGAACCACAAGGTGGACGCATCCGTCCACTACAACCTCCCCGAGTTGCAGTCCTCCAGCCGCCTGCCTCCGCCCCAGCACAATGGGCAGCAGGAGCCCACCGCCAGCAGGAAGGGCCCCCTGGCGCAGGAGATGGACCCCGACTCAGAGGAGGAGGACGACGGGGAGGACGAGGAGGAAGACCCCCCCAGGCGCAAGTGGCAGGGGATTGAGGCCGTTTTGGAAGCTTACCAGGAACATGTGGAAGGTATGGAGGGCTGGGGAGGCAGGCCAGGGCCCGGGAAGGGTGTGCCAGGAGGCTCAACGGGCTCATGATGGGTGCCAGTTTCCATCGCCAGGCTGGGAACTGCTTGAGTGACAAGGCCCCGGGCTCCTGGGCCACAAGTAGATAGGAGCCTCAGAACCGCTCCTTGGGCTTCTGGGGTGCCTGGGCTAGCTTGCAACAGCCACTCCTCACGAACAGACGTCCTCCCTGGAGGAACCTAGGCGCCGAGCGCCTGTCCCACCCAGTGTGACAGCGTGGACCTGGGCCTGCTCGCCCCGCCGTGTCCTGTCGCGCTTCTGAACGTTCTGTCCGTCCTCACCCTGTGGCTGTGTACACAGGTCCTAGAAAAGGCAGTGTTTCACCCAGCCGAGCCCAAGTCTCCCTCTCTGGCGTGCTTCGCGGGCTGCGTGGCTCAGGACGTGCCCACAGGCCTGGGCCTCCTGGAGCAGCACTTAGCGCAGGAGGTCAGCCCTCGTCGGCCTTCAGAACGTCAGAACCCTGGCTATCGCCACTTCCAAATTCGACTTACTACCGTATTGTAGAGAAGTTTTTATCATGGATATCATGATCATTTCAGATACTTTGAAACAGGCATCGTAAAACTAGCTAAGTATTCAATACAGTCAAAAAGAATGCCCTCGTAGCCATAACAAGAGTATCAATGCCTGTTTTTTATTGAAGTATATAGTTGATTTGTTAGTTCCAGATATACAGAAAAAGTGATCTGTTACACATATATCCACTCTTTTTAGATTCTTTTCCCATACAGGCCATTAGAATTTTGAGCAGAGTTCTCTGTGTTAATACCAATCTCCCAATTTATCCCCCATAATCATAAGACTGTTTTCTAGATCTTTATTTCTGTGTTGTATATATTCCACATATAATATGTGGAATCATTTACTTGGGATGTTTGTCTTCCTCCAACTTACTTCATTCTGTATGACCATCTGGAGGTTTATCCATGTTGCTGTGAGTGGCATTTCATTTTTTCCGTGGCTGAGTAGTATTCCATTGTACATACATACCACGTCTTCATTATCCATGCCTCTGTTGATGGACATTTAGGTTGCTCTCATGTTTTGGCTGTTTAACAGTGCTACTATGAACATAAGACTGCATGTATCTCTTCAAATTATGTTTTCTCCAGATATAGCCACAGCAGTTGGGATTGCTGGATCATATAGCAGGTCTCTCTTTAGTTTTTAAGGGAACCTCCATAGTCCTCTTCATAGTGGCTGCACCAATTTATATTCCCACCAACAGAGTTAGGAGGGTTCCTTTTCTCCACACCCTCTCCAGCATTTACTGTGGGTTTTTTGATGATGGCCATTCTGAATGGTTTGAGGTGGTGGTTTTGATTTGCACGTCTCTGATAATCAATTAGTGATGTTGACCACCTTTTCAGCCATCTATATGTCTTAGTTTTTGGAAAAATATCTATTTATAGATGTTCACCCAGATGGTGGCGCGTGGTGGTCCAATGGTTAAGAATCCACTTTCTAATAAAGAAAGTGTGGGTTCAATCCCTGGTCAGGGAACCCGAGATTCACTAAGAAAAATAAGGGGGGAAAAATTGATCTTCACCCATTTTTTGATTTTTTTTTTTCACCCACTTTTTTGATTAGGGTTTTTTTTTTTTCTTTTAATGTTGAGCTACATGAGCTGTTTGTATATTTTGGAGATTAAATTCCTTATTGGTTGCATCTTTTATAAATACTTTCTTCTGTACTACGGGTTGTCTTTTTGTTTTATGGTTTCCTTTGCCATGCAAAAGCCTTTAATTTGGTCCCACCGTTTGTTTTTGTTTTCATTATTTTAGGAGGTGGATCAAAAAAGAGCTTGCTGCAATTTATGTCAAAGATTGTTCTGCCTGTGTTTTCCTCTAAGAGTTTTTATAACAACCAACCTTTACATTCAGGTCTTTAATCCATTTTGAATGTACCTTTGTGTATGGTGTTACAGAGTGTTCTGTTTCATTCTTTTTACATGTAGTTGTCTAGTTTTCTCAGCACCACTTATTGAAGAGACTGTTAGAACAGAGATTTGTCCTTGAAGATTTGAAGCTCAGTATCTTTTGGAAAGGCAGAGGTTTTACTTTAGTCGTTAAAAACTATAAATTTCTAACAGCTTAAAAGTTTTTATGTCTAACCCTTTTATCTTTCTTCTTGAAAAATGCATCTTAAGGCTGTAAGTTATTATTATTTCCTAAGCTGCATCCCTTAAATTGCCTTTCGATGCTACGTCCTTGGTCTTTATTCTGCTGGGTTGGGTTAGTTCCGTGACATCATCACCAGCACAATTGACAGGGCAGGGAGCCATGTGGTCCAAAGGAGAGAACGTGGCCAGCTGCTCTAGAGAGGAGGGCACGCGCCGGGCCTGGAGCCCTGCGTACAGAAGATGTCACCCTGGCTTGTCTTTTCAGAGCAAGATCTGGAGCGGCAGGTGCTGCAGGCGCAGTGCAGGCGGCTGGAGGCGCAGCACTACAGCCTCAGCCTCACAGCTGAGCAGCTCTCCCACAGCATGGCGGTAAGTCTCAGGACTAGAACTGGCTCCAGGGGGCTTTCTTGACCTCACAGTGGTTATTCTCATTCAGCCTTTCGAGTCTAGGTTCAAGAGCACCCATACAGACCAGTTTTGAAGGGAAGTTGTGCTCTTGAGAGATCCAGACAATCTTAGGGGGTAAATTCAGGAGTCACCTGAGGAGGGGAGTGTCCTCTGTTTGCAGAACATGGACCTGGAAGGGCGAGGGGCTGTGTGTATGCGCCTTTGGGGGCTGGTGTACTGCCCATGTCAGTCTCCCCTGTGATGTGCTCAGGAGAATGGAGGGAAGGAGGAGAGCTCTTGGGACAGGATGGACACCCCCACACACACAGCTGTGACAGCGAGAACCCCACTGGCTTCCTCCCACCCATGGGAGGGGGGTTGTCATGTGTTTGGGGCTTGAACGTCTTGGTAACTTCAGCCCAGACCTGAAGCAGCAAAAGCTGGACAGTGACAGGGCTGGAGCTGCGAGAGCAGCAGACAGTGCTGTTGGGAGAGCCAGCAGGGCTAGAAGAATCCAAGGTTCTGGAGCAGTTAGAGCGCATCCCACACCCTTCCTTACTGTGTCCACTGCGGGTCTGACATGAGTCTCTTTCTCCAGGAGCTGAGGAGCCAGAAACAGAAGATTGTTTCAGAACGGGAGCGACTCCAGGCGGAACTGGATCACTTACGGAAGTGCCTTGCGTTGCCTGCAATGCATTGGCCTAGAGGTTACTACAAGGGTTACCCGAGGTGACGGTTTCCCTTGCACTAGGCCGAACCTATAGTATAGAAATATTATCTATTTTATTACCTTGAATATTTAATATTTTTCACTGGGAGGTTTGACGCTTAAAAAAAAGAGAATGTGCCATGCATGAAGCAAAGGATTCCAGGCTCCAGAAAAAAAGAACGAACTCGCCTTGACTTCAATGCAGTTGACTCACCTTTGTAATTCAGCAAGCAACCCGTGTTAAGACACCCATAGTTTTTTCCTTTTAAAGGCGGTTTTATCCTTTCCCACGTCATCATTTTTTAGTCTCAAGATGAAGGCTCCATTCCCAACACTAAGATTTGACCACTTCCAGCCCCCGGGTGCGTAAGGCGGAGCGGACTGCCGGGGCGCCGTGTTGTGTGTTGCCAGGTCCTTTGGCCTCAGGAACCCAGGCTGCTCTGGCCGTGGGGTGGCTGGTCTCGCTCCTCCCCAGGATTGAGACCTGCCCCAGCAGAAGGAAGGTGGGGTGCATTCTAAGTAAAGGGCTTATTTGTTTCAGTTATTTTTCCGCAAAATTTTCCTCAAAGCAACAGGTCCTAGGAGCACACAAAGCAACAGTACTGAAGCCTCACCCGAAGGCTTTTCCCCGGAAAAGCTCTTACCTAAAGATAGAATGAATCGACAAACTGAAGGTACCTTTTTATTCCTTCGTGGGGGAAGATGTACAGAGCTCTATGTATACATTTATCCACACCCACCCGATTGTTACTGTGGTGGGGGTGTTTTCATACAAACGTAAATTTTGAGAGAAAAGTCAAAGGTGCTTCAGCCTTGTACTGTGTATATATATTAAAAAACAAAGTTTTGTATGTTTTTATTACTTTAATTATTGTTATAAAAAGCCTGCCATTTTTAATACGTGGTTTGGGGGATTTTTTTGTTGTTTGTTTTCCTGTTTGGGGGTTTTGTTTGTTTTTGTTTTGTTTTTCTGGGCAAAAAAAAAAAAACCTTGCTTTTAGTGTTTGTACTGCTGCTGGTCAGGACATTATTGAAGTGTTTTTAAAAATTAAAGAAGAAGAAAAGTAAAAAGAGCTTACCACTGGCGCCTACGCGAGCACTTCATTTTTGAGTTGCACCGGAGAGTGATGTAGAAAGCCATGGTTCCTCCTCCCCTCCCCGGGCCCTCCCCGGCTCCTCCCCCGGCCAGCGAGGCGCTCCTGGTCTCCACCTTCACACCGTGAGAACCTTTGAGGGGGGAGTGGTTTCTGTGACGGGGTGCTGAGGTGTCTTACAGCAGTCTGAGCAGGAGCAGAGTAGAAACTCTAGGGGCTTGATTTAGATGCAGAGCTTTGTAGCAGCCTAAAGGCAGGGTGAACCACATGCGACAGAACCTCTCCTCGTGGACTCACTGTGATGAGCTCAGGAGCTGCTGGAAACGGGGATAATCGTATCAGGGCGAAGCGCAGGGCCGGGGGAGCCCACCCTCCTTGCCCCGGTTGCTGCCGGTTCAGGCTGGGTTGCATCTAGATCAAGAAGGCAGCTCTTGCCCCATGGGCCTAAACCACAGGCCAAAGCAGCCAGTGGTTGGTGTGACTGGGTGGGGGGTGACGAGGGGACCCACACATCAGGCCATGTGCGCCCCTCCTCCCCAGCCTGGGGACAGGCTGGCTGACCTTCGGGAAGGCCAGGCGCTGTGACCATGGCCACGCCCTCAGCCCAGACCTTAGCTGCGCAGAACAGCTTGCTGGCAGATGGCATTGTGTCACTTTATCTGTTCCCACGCAGTTTGCTTTGTACGCCTGCCAAGAATCTTCCAGTTATTAGCAAACTCAGACAAAAAGTGCCGCCAGTATTATCAGCAGTCAGCAAGCACTTTCCTCTCTACAGAAAGGACTTGAGAATTGAGAGCCGTTCTGGGGGCCTCCTCCCCTGCAGAGATATGGAGAGCACCATGTGCCACAGGTGGGGACAGGTGTTTAGAGGGAGCCCCACTGCCAACAGTCAGGGCAAAACATCCCTGAATTTCTCTATTTAAAACCTGCTTGCTGTTTCTGAAGGCCTAAGGGTTACATCTTGGCACTTCCCCCAGTCATCCTCCTCCATCATAGAAAATATCTGGCTGCCTCTGCTCCCGGGCGCTGGTAAAGGGCCTTGGCTAGAAGCAGAGGGAAGACTAGACCTGATGACAAGATGGGAAAAGCACAGCCCGGGCCCGTCAGCACCTGGCGGGGGCTCCCTTGCCGCTGTGTGGTGGCTGGGGTGGAGTTCGTGGACACCTGCCCAGGGGTGGCAGCTCTGCCCCGAGCTAGTTTTAACAGCTCTCCCCTTCGGAGTGGCACCCCCCACCTACCTGTGAGAATCTCTGAATATTCTAGGGCTCAAGAAGAAATGTGACAATCAGAATATAAATACAGACCAGTAAGGCAGCATGAAGAAAGAAAAAGGTAACAGAGGGTCTTGTGAAAACAAAAGTGTACCTTTCTGAGACAGTATACCCAATCATGGCCCCCCTCCCCCCCCCACTTAACAGTTTATAATCTGAAAACTCTTCTTCTAAAAGAACATAGTAGCATCAGTCTCTTTTCAGTTTGGGCTTAAAAGCTGAGACAAATATGGAATCCCTGAAGCTTTTTGTTCAGCTATTTCACACTGAGTTTGAAAGACATAGTTCAGAAATATAGCAAATTTGCTCTAGAACGGATTCTGGAACTTTTGTGTCAGTATTTTTGTGACCTGAAGAAGTTTTGCTAAACTTGGGTACCTGCCAAAGCTGAGTTGTGCAGCTCTGTGCATTGAATCAGATCAGTGGAAACAAACCAGAGCTATCCCCCCACGCTTGGCACTGCACGACCTGATCATTTGAAAATGAGCCTTTGTTTCATAGAAACAGGCAAACTGGCATAAAATATCATAATCTATTATCTCACATAAGTGACCAATAGTTTAGTCTATATTCTAAAGGAAATGCAACAATTGGCAGCATGCAAAGTGCTAAAAAAGATTATACCCTCAGGGAAATTAAAAAAATATTAAAAGGAGCCCACACCTTCAGCAAACTAGCGAATAATAACAACAGGTAAACTAAGTCTGTGTGTGGGGTGGCGTTCCATCGAGTAGCTCACGATGCTGCCCCATCTCCAAATCTAAGTCACATACCCCGTTTCCCTCTGAGCCATGGTTTAAAAGTGTAGACAGTTCCAGAGACCCACCACCAGATGGGGATGGTTAGCACAGGAAGTTGCTCCTCTTACAGTGTAGATTAGCCACTTAGCAGCAGCCCCGTACTCTTCTAGTAAACAAGCTATTGGCGTCACTGCTTGCAGTAGCCTGTCCCCCACCTTCCGATCCAGTGCTGAACTAGACTCCTTAACTCTGCCCTGAGCCGAGGAGGACCACCAGCCCGTCGAGCCGCCCTGCTGTGCCTGTGCTAACTGCTGGGACAGTCAACCAGGACTCGGGGGGAGGAGGAACGGTGCCTCGGTCACTCTGGGGGCAGTTTAGATGCTGTGAAATTAAACCTGTTCTAAGTGTACTTGTTTGAATTAACTGTATTGTAATATTATTTGTTGAATGTAGTAATTAGGTATTTATGAATATATTGCTGTAATTTCTGACAACATCCAGAAAATAAAATCTTCCTAAATCATGTTAAGAGAAAAAATTTTTTTATGTTATAGTAAGGGGAAAAAATAAGAACTCAACAATTCTACAGTTTTACAAGTACAGTGTGAAGACAGATTCAACTGGACTTCAGCCCGGTTTTAGGAGAAGGGGTGAAACTATGGAGACCAAGTCTTCTGGGTCCTAGTCCCTCTGTGTGTGGCCTTCAGTGTTCAGACACAAGCTGCTGTCTAGAGGGACATCGGGGGCCCACGGGGCTGGAGAAGCAGCGCTCGGGCATAAACACTGAAGGTGAAAACACCCGCAGGTACTCCTCAGGCCCAGTGGGTCATGTGATCACACACACAGCCCCTTCCAAAACCCTGGAGATGGCAGGTGAGACTGTCGGGAAGCGGCTGGTGACTGAACCTGCTCCTTACAGGACTGGGCAGTCATCGCCCCCCACCCCCGACTTGAGGAGAGGTATTCTGTAAGGAGCCGAGCGGTGCTACCGCTGAAGAGGCTCCTCCTAGGGAAAAACAGGACTCTGCCCTGAGCCACGGCTGCCTCAAGCATGTTGTCCCCTCAGTCCACCAAGAACCACTGCCTCAAGCAGGCTGTCCCCTCAGTCCACCAAGAACCACCGCACAGGCCCCATTTTCCCCTGGCATCTTGGCATAAGCTTCACTTACACATGGAATTCATTTTCCCTACTTTCTTGCTGATAAACAACCTTTTAGACCTTGCCCAGAAGCAGCCAAGCGAATAAGAGACACCCACGACTGTGGGCTGGAAGTGCACACTGTTTGCTAAACCTCCCAGTCTGGTCTGGTCTGTCACTAGCCACTGAGCCTGCTCCCTTCACGCGGGAGTGATGCAGGGAAAAAACCCAAAGAGAACCAGGTGATTCCACCTTTATTGTGTATCGGGGCTTAATGAGAAACACGGGTCACCGTCACTAGCCGAGTGCTCATCTGCTGTCCCGCACTGTGTGAACAGTCTCTGAGGAAGACTCTGAATGTAGCCCAAGAGAAAGGCCGTGGCCACATCACCATCCTGCCATATCTTATCTTAAAAACAACACTTGCCATCACTGAACACTCACCTGCACACGACCGTCCCGTGCAGGAGACGGGCTCTGCTGGGGAACGCGCTCATTCTGCCAGTGCTTTATCTTCCCCCGTAAAAGGCAGCTGGCTCCCAGACACAGATGAGGAATTACAGAATGTCTTGACTGAGCATAAGCCTGTTGCTTTCCAACCAGGTTATAAACCCATTCCTTCCTTCACTGCACTTTTTTTCATAGATTCACAAGTGGTCTAGAAGTCCAGAAACGTGAGTATCTCTGCCATGTCCTGAACGCTCACGCCGCCTGGTGCGCCTCCTGCCAGCAGATGCGGGCCTGGACAAAGCAGTCCTTGCCTAGAAGTCCTGAGACTGGGCGCTGTCCGAAGGCTGCAGGTTTGTGCGGAGTTTGTACATGTGGTTGAGCGCTTGTGTGAGGAAAGCCCCACTGGTGTTGATCTCCATCAGGGTCAAGTTATCCAGCTAAACGTGAGGGAAAATAGCTGGTTTAGTTTTTTATTTCAAGAAAGGTTAAATCTACTGGATAAAAATAAAGAAGCAATGAGCAATGATTTTCTAAAGCCAGCTAGGGCACGGCTCCTGAGCAGACACAGGCCTCCCTGCCCGTCATGCGCACCTTGGCGTGTGCCTCCTGCTGCCTCACGAAGCTGTCGGCAGACACCCGGAACTTGGCTATGCGAGTGTCCCACACGTCCTTGATCAGGGTCCGGATCTCATCTGCTTTCGGGATGTTGTCCGAAGCACTAAAGGAAGAAAAGGTGAGATAAATTGCACAGGGAAGCATGCAGTAAATTAAGCTAACATCCAGGGAAAAATGGCTTCTTCCTAAACTGCTTAGATTTAGACAGAAATGCACAAGCTGTTCCGAGGCCCAGTCTGTTTCACTTTTCAGTTTTAAAATGTAAGGATTTCTAGCAGTCAACCTGGGCGCCAGAAAAATTCAGCCAGGATGCTCACTGAGTCGGCTGTGCTCATATTAGCTGTCCTGGGCAGCCTGCAGTACAAGCACTTGTTTATTCACTGAAAAAATTGAGGTATCGGAGCAGCAGCTCTGAGCTGGTCCTCCCCTGTCTTGGGATAACTGGGTGCTCTGTGCTGTGGTCTGTACAATTTCCACCTAGAATGCATCTCTTTCAAAGGCTGGCTCAGAGGTCATGACCTCTAATGCTAACACCCCAGGGCTACAGCCCACCAGGGAAAGCAAACGAAGGCTGTATGCCAGGCAGTCCTCGGCACTACACAGCACTTCTATCCTCACAGAAGCCCGTGAAGGTCAGAGACTGTCCTGCTCTACAGAGACAACAAAGATACATTTGCAAAAGTTACAAAATGAAAAGCAAATCAGCATAAGTAGCACACCCATACACAGCAAATTTGGGGTAGAAGTCTGGCCTGGAGTCTGCGCAGGGCACTGACAGCCTTCCTGTGACACATTCTTAAACTAACCTTAACCTCTGAAGGAAGAGACAAGCTAAGACAAAAGCAGAGGCTAACATCCTTCACCAGGAGTCCTGGGATGCACTCCAGGGACTACAGGCTGGATAAGCCTCCACAGGCTACAGTGAGCTCACGAGTGGAGACCAAGAGTCAGTGGTATAAAGCTGATGTAGGAGATTTTATTTAAGACCCAAACATCTGGATCTTGCAGTCTGAACAGCAGGGAACAAAGGCCTCCAGCTCCTTGTGAACTGCACTGCAGAACAAGGGCCCCTTCGCTGAATGAACAACTGTAAGGAATTATGAAACAGGGGTTTTGATAGGACTGTGTACACGATACCCTGAACTTCAAAACCTAAAGATGCGCAGACCTCCCCTCTGCTTCTGTATTCTTTCTGAAGCCACTCCCCTCCAAGGCAGCCCTCCGGGTCCCCCGAATGACACCCCGTCCCACCCATGCCTGAACACCCTCCTGGGGACGTGGCTTCCGCTCCCCTGCCCTCACCAGGCACGCGGGTCCCAGCAGCCCCGCTCCACAGCCCTGTCTCTCACCTGCTGTTCTGTCCTGCCGACCCCCTCTCCCTTGACAGGTGTCCCTCCATCCTCCAAGCCATGGAGCCCTCCCCAGGCAGTGCCAGGGTGAGGGCTGCATCAGGCTGTTCTGACAGATTATCACACCACACCGGTACCAGGGCCCCATCTCTGCCCCACAGAACCGGAACTCGGGCCTACAGGACCAATTCCTCTGCCTAGTGGAACACTTAGCAGGTTGTACAAGGAGAGTGTTGTGAACTGCACAACTGCTGCCTTGGGTCAACTCAAGGACAAGCCCACGGGACCAAGTCTCCACTTGAATCCGCAGCGCTGTGCACGGGGCCCAGCCAATTAAAAGGTGCTCAAGGTTTGAAAAGGTTGGCATTGTGCAGACTACATTCTAAGTTGCTCCTAAGCAACACTGTCTATACCTGCCTGCTTTCTCCGCTGATTCATTCATTTATTCACAAACACGTGAGCAACAAACATGTGAGCACCAGGCACTGCTGGGGCACAAGACGGTCCCTGCCCGTGAGAACAGGGGCAGGGGCGGAGGAGTGGCCCAGGCAGACGCGGTGAGAGGAGAGCGGCTGACAAGTGCTATGGAAGGTGCGGAGCTGCCCTGGAGACGGGGATGAGGACAGGCGTGCTTACCGGGGGGGAGGGCCTGTGCTAAACCCAGGAGGGAGGCGGGGACGGGGACTCCTGGGCAGAGGGCACGCGCACGTGCTCTGAGGACTTGGACCTTCTACTTATGTGCAGAAGTGAGAGGCTAGCGTGACCCCAGGCCCAGGAGAGAGAGGAAGGCCTGCAGAGCTGTGAGAGGGAGAAGAGGGAGCCAGGCTATGCGGCGTGAACGCCACGAGCAGGACTGCAAGTCTAGAGAGGCTCCAGAGGGCAGGGGAGGCCCGCGGCAGCCTGCTCTAGAGAAGCGCCCTCCGGCCGAGGGAGGAGCCGACAGGGAGCCCGCCCCAGGGGCCTTTCATCCAGCTCAGGGTCACAGGCAGACGGGAGCCTGGCCCTTCCCTGTGCAGGAGACGGAAGCGCTCAGACACCCAGGCCCCAAGAGAAAAGGGGTGCAGCCTGACTGACACGGTAACTGCCGTGAAGGAAAAGCCGCTGTTAGGGAAGGAGGGACTGATACGGAGTCCAGTGACAAGAGACGGCTAGGGCGCAGAGCAGAAAGAACAGGGGTTGAACAGGAGAGGGAAGGACAGAGGAAAGGAAAGGAGAGAGCGGGAGAGTCAGAGCCCAGCCAGCGTGTGCGCGCCCGACACCTCCAGGCTGAGGGCTGCGGCGGAGCGGGGTCCAGACCCGCTGGCTCCCCTGGGAACGAGCGGGGAGCACCGACGCGGGCGGGCATGGGCTGTGGGCTCCGCTGAGCTACTCACTGATTCAACAGCAGTTTGGTGAGCTCCATGTAATAAGGGCTGGGCATAGGCGTAAAAGTTTCTTCCTTTCGTTCATGATCTCGAATCTTCTCCAACTTTTCTGAAATTTAGAAGTGAAAACACTTTACTATGACCATAAGCAAAATATATATTTAAAACTGTCCAAATTTACCAAGTGGGTTTCCCAGGTGGCGCAGTGGTAAAGAACACACCTGCCCAAGTATTTATGTTATCTCATCGATCAACTAATAGAAAAAAACCCACCACTTTTTGAAATATCATTTTTTATCACTAACTAGATATTACAGGGCTGATTTCCTCAAACCTCTAAGCTTCTCTTAGAGAAGGTGGTAGATTTGGTTATAACTGTTGCTGAGCCTGCAGAATACATGACTGAGAACAGTAAGAGCCAGTTCTTTTCTCTGGGAGAGTGAAGTATTCTACCTCTGATGCAAGTGGAGATGATAGTAACTAGTGACTGGCGAAGTTTCCTTCTTCATATCAAACCTTGCTTAGGACTTCCCTGCTGGCACAGTGGAGAAGAATACACCGGCCAATGCAGGGGACGTGGGTTTGATCCCCGGTCCCGGAAGATTCCACATGCCCTGGGGCTAAGCTTAGAGCCTGTGCTCTGCAACAAGAGAAGCCAGCACAGTGAGAAGCCCGTGCACCACCACCAAGAGCAGGCCCTGCTGGCTGCAACCAGAGGGGAAGCCTGCACAGCAAGGAAGATTCTGCACAACCAAAGATATTAAAACACACATACATACACTGCTCAGAAGAGAGCAAGACAACCTACAACTAAGAGGGGCTTCAAAGCCCCAAATCTGGAACCAAAGTGCCGAGTCCAATTCCATCCAGCAGGAACGAGCCGCACCGGTCCTCCCCTCTGTCCTTCCTCCTGGCTGAGAAACCCCGGTCCTGAACCAGCTGCCGCTGTGGCAAAGGCGTGCACACACCACTCTGCCCTGGAGCCTCCTCTGAAATGACTGCCCACCCATCCCCGGGGCCCACCCCCTGCCATCCTTAACCCCCCCATCCCTGTTCAGCCACACACTTCCCGCCCACCCTCTCCAGCCTTCTACCCGACGCCTAGCAGGGCACCCGCACACTCCCGCATCCCAAGGGGCGTGCTGGACCCCCTCTCACTGAACAGAACACGGCGTGGCAGCTGTCCTCACTGCTGAGTAAGCCCTGTCTCACTCACCAGTCCGTCAACCTCCACGCAGCACCTTTCGTCTTAAAAAGAAAACTCTCCTCTGACACCCCATGGTCAACGCCCCGCTCCCAGTCTAGCCCAGGGTGGCCCCAGTCTCAGGAAACGGCACCCCCAGCTCCGCCAGCAGCCCCGGTGGGCACTCTCACTTCTCTCTGATCCCATGGCCTGTCCCGCAGCAAATGCTCCCCATCCTGTCTTCAAAACAAACCTGGACCCCAACCACATCTGCCTACCCCCATCGACCCAGTGGTCGGGCCACCCTGAGCTCCTGTTGGTGACCCCACCCACTCTCTCCATACTCGTCTTCCCCACACCACGGACAGACTCTCCCTTTCCACATCTACCTCGGAGGATAAAACACCTCTGTCTGATCTCTGCAGCAGAGACCAACGCCCAGTGTGGCCCGGGGTGGAACAGCAGCAGCTTGCACATCTCTGCCGGGTCACAAGAGCGGCCCGACCACGCTGCGGGCTGCTCCTCAGAGTGAGCAGTCAGTCCTGTGAGCTGGCAGTTCCAGGGCTCTAGGCGTTTGTTTACCCAAGAGAAATAAAAACAAATACCCACAAAAAGACTCAGACACGGCTGTCCACAAGCAGCCTTGACCACAACAGCCTAAAATGGGGAACAACCCAAACATCCACCAACAGAAGAGTGCAGACAAGCTGTGGAATACTCACACAGTGAATGAAACAATATTCAGGATAAAAGAATAAGGTAACAACACGTGCAACAACAGGGGCAATGAATCGCAAGAACATTACGCTGAATTAAAGCAGTCAGAGCTAGGACTTCGCTGGTGGCCCGGTGGCGAAGATGCCACACTCCCAGTGCCGGGGTCCTGGGTTAGATTCCACATGCCAGAACAAAAGCGTTCACACACCATGGCTGAGACCCAGTGCAGCCAAATAAATACTGGAAAAAAGCGAGAGCAAAAACTGACATGCTAGATAATTCCATTTGTATGCCAGCCAAGAACAGGCGGAACTAATCCACGGTGGCAGAAGCAGCAGCGGGCCCCTTGTGGACTGAGGAGTGATGTCCACTCCTGTCCCCACAGGATGGCCCAGGTCCGTAAGAAGGCCCAGAGTAACTCTCCCCACACCTTCCCTCTGACTCGGGGCTCCCACCAGACAGGTTTGTGCCCCACATCACCTGGGACTAGAATAGGCCAGAAAGGGAAGAAGTGCCAATAGAATCAGGACCTTGGTGTGTGGGGAGCCAGCAAGGGCGGGGGGGGCGGGGGGGTCCCTGCTTAAAAAAAAAAACCCTCAAAGCCTAACGAACTGGAGTTTCCTGTCATGTTTCTGGACCACCAGCTGCACACACCCCTTTGGGATACAGACTAAAGACAAAATGCTCACGCAGTCTTTCTTAACCTGTATTTGAGTCACACCTGGCTCCAAATGTCCAAGCTTCTAGGAGGCAGGGGTGCCTGGGTGATTCTCAAAGGGAAGGGGACAAACTCGTTCAGAGGCTTTTCAAATTCTATACTCCCCCAATCCCAGCCCTAAATAAATTTGAGAGTCTTCTCTATAATGAGCCATTCATATCTCCAAGGTGAGGAAAAGCCTGCAAAGATTTAGGATAAAGACAGACCACCTCTTTGACCCAGTATTTTCCTGTTTTGTTTTTTCCAGCACCTTTATACTGAGGCATAATCAACATACCATGCAATTCACCCATTCAATGGTTTTTAATACAGCCACAGAGTTGTGCACCCATCACTTCAATCAACCTTACAATATCTTCACCACCCCAAAAGGAACCCCATAATCTTTCTATAACCCACTCAAACCTCCATCCCTAGGCAACCACTAATTTCCCTTGTCTTTATGGGCCTGCCTGCTCAGGACAACTCATCATAGAAACTGAATAACATGATATTCGGTCTTTGTGTCTGCCCTCACCCCCAGCACTTAATGTAACATTTTAAAGAATCATCTGTGTTTGTACCCTGTCACAACCTCATACCTTGAGATGGTCAAAACAATACTGCCTCGTATGGATGATGCCTTATTTTCACACATTCTCTATAATGTAATGCGTTCTTTGTAATGACTCAGCTCCTCATGCTGGTCTGTACTTTTTTTTTTTAATTAGAATATATGTTCCCTTAAATTCGTATAACATCTTCAGTTTTAAAGCAAGTACAGCTGATAGTGGAGACAAGACGGCAGAGGGAGGGACGTGAGCTCACCTCTTATGAAGACACCAGAATCACAACTAACTGCTGAACAACCATCGACAAAAAAAACGCTGGGACCTACCAAAAAAGGTATCCTACATCCAAAGACAAAGTAGAAGCCACAATGAGATGGGAGGTGGGCCACAACTGACATGAAATCTATTACCACATCTGTCAGGTGGGCAAACCACAAACTGGAAAGTAATTATATCCCAGAGGTTCTTCCACAGGAGTGAAAATTCTCAGGAGTCACACTCCCCTGACTGGGGGTCTGGCAACTGGACGAGCAGCCCCCAGAGCGTCTGGTTTTGCAGGCAAGCAGGAACTGACCGCAGGAGCTCCACAGTACAGGGGGAAACAGAGACCTCACAAAAACTTGGACCAGACTTACCTGCTGGAGATGGAGGCTGGGACCCTCATCACACTCAAAAGTTGTTGCACGGCAAAGGAAACCATAAAGAAAAAGAAAGGCCACGGATGGGAGAAAATATCTGCAAATGAAATGATCTACAAAGGCTTTTATCTGCAAAATTTACAAACAATCCATAGCACTCAACAATAAGAAGACAATCCAATCAAAATGGGCAGAGTGCTTCCCCAGTGGCTTGGTGGTAAAAAATCCACCTGCCAATGCAGGAAACGCAGGACTGATACCTGGTCTGGGAAGAACACACAGGCCTCGAAGCAACTCAGGCTGTGCACAACTACTGAGCCCGTGCTCTGAGCCTGGGAACCGCAATGACTGATCCCAAGTGCTGCAACTGCTGACACCGCACACTCCAGAGCCCGAGCTCCACAATAAGAAGTCACTGCAAGGGGGGCCCCCACCACTGTGGAGGAGCCCCGGCCACCTGCAAGTACAGAAAAGCCCGAGCAGCAGCGAAGACCCAGCACAGCCAAAATAAATAAGCTCTTTTTAAAAAATGGGCAGAAGATCTAAACAGGTATTTCTCCAAAACGAAACAGAGGGCAAAAAGCACATAAAAAGATGCTCAACTCTTTAATTATTGTTGCTGCTGTTCAGTGGCTCAGTCATGTCCGACTCTGCAAACCCATGGGCCAAAGAAATGCAAGTCAAACCTTCAAGGAGATATCACCTCACACCAGTCAGAGTAGCCATCACCAAAAAGCCTACAAACAATAAATGCAGGAGAGGATGTGAAGAAGAGGAGACCCTCCTACACTGCTGGTGGGAATGTAAATTAGTGCAGCCACTATGAACGGAGAACAGCATGGAGGTTCCTTAAAAAACTAAAACTAGAACCAGCGTATGATCCAGGAGTCCCAGTCCTGGTAGTGTATCTGGAGAAAACCACGGTTCCAAAGGATACATGCACCCCAGTGTTCACTGCAGCACTGCTTACCCAAGACATGGAAGCGACCCAAATGTGCATCGACAGATGAACGGATAACGAAGACGTGGGGCATACACACAACAAAATATTACACAACCATTAAAAAGAATAATGGCATTTGCAGCAACAGGGATGAACCTGGAGGTTATCACACCAAATAAACTACACCAGACAGAGAAACACGTATATGGCTTATATGTGAAGTATAAAACAAAACAATACAAATGAATTTATTTACAAAATTGAAACAGACTCACAAAAGACAATCGTTAGCAAAAAGGAACAGAGGACGGGAGGGATAAATTGGGAGTGGGAAAATCACACACACACAACTATATATAAAATAAATAACCAACAAGGACCAACTGCATAATACAGGGAACTCTGCTCACTATTCTGCAATAACTGAAACGGGAAAGGAATGCGAAAAAGGTAGATACATGTATATATACAACTGACACTATGCTGTACACAGGAAACTTTATTAATCAACTAAACTGCAATATAAAGTAAAAATTAAAAATAAAAATAAACAAATGGGACCTAATTAAACTCAAAAGCTTTTACACAGCAAAGGAAACGATTGAAAAAATGAAAAGACCCACAGAATGGGAGAAAATACTTGTAAACGATTAGACCCATGAGGGATCAATCTCCAAATTTACAAACAGCTCAGGCAGTTCAATACAAAGATAAACAATCCAATCAATTAATGGGGATAAGATTCAACAGAAGGTTTCAAAAGAACATATACAGTTGTGCAAGAAACACATGGGAAGATGCTCAATATCACTAATTATTAGCAGAATGCAAATCAAAACGACTATGAGATATTACTTCACACCTCAGTCAGAAAGGCCATCGTCAAGTGTACAAACAATGCATGCTGGAGAGGGGGTGGAGAAAAGGGAGCCCTCCTTCACTACTGGTGGCAATGTGAGTTGGTGCAGCAATATGGAAACCAGCAGGAGGTTGCTCAGAAATCCAAAAACAGAGCAACCCCACTCCTGGGAATATACCTGGCCAAAACTTTAATTAAAAAAGATACATACACCCTATGTTGATATCAGCACTATTCACAATAGACAAGACATGGAAGCAACCTAAATGTCCACTGACAGATACAGAAGATGTAGCGTGTATACACACATGCACGTGGAATATTACTCAGCTACTGAAAAGAAGTAAGATAATGCCATTTGCGGCCACATGGCTAAACCTGAAGATTATCGAACTAACTGAATTAAGCCACACAAAGACAAATGTCACATGATATGGCTTAGGCACAAAATGTAAAAAAAAAAAATTATAGAAATGAACTTACTTCCAAATAGAAACAGACTCGCAGACTTAGAAAACAAACTCGTGGTTAGCAAAGGGTAAAGGCACAGGGGAAAGATAAACTGGGAGTTTGAGACTGACATACACATATTACTATACACAAAAGAGATGACCAGAAAGGACCTATTGTATAGCCTAGGGAACTCTCCTTAATATTCTTTAATAACTGAAATGTGAAAAGAGTTTCAATAAGAGTAGATATATATAAATAACTGAATCATTTTTTGTACATGTGAAACTAACAAAATATGGTTAACCAACTATTTTGTTGTTCAGTCGCTAAGTTGTGTCTGACTCCTTGTGACCCAATGAACTGCAGCACACCAAGCTTCCCTGTCCTTCACTATCTCCTGGAGTTTCCTCAAAGTCATGTCCATCCAACCATCTCATTCTCTGTCACTCCCTTCTCCTGCCCTCAGTCTTTCCCAGCATACGGGTGTTTTCCAGCGAGTCGGCTTTTTGCATCAAGTGGCCAAAGTATTTCAAGCTGGATTTAGAAAAGGCAGAGGAACCAGAGATCAAATTGCCAACATCCTTTGTATCGTTTAAAAAGCAAATGAATTTCAGAAAAACATCTACTCCTGCTTTATTGACTATACCAGAGCCTTTGACTGTGTGGATCACAACAAACTCTGGAAAATTCCTCAAGAGATGGGAATACCAGACCACCTGACCTGACTCCTGAGAAATCTGTATGCAGGTCAAGAAGCAACAGTTAGAATTGGNAGCAAGGAGAGCCAACCAGTCCATCCTAAAGGAAATCAGTCCTGAATATTCATTGGAAGGACTGATGTTGAAGCTGAAACCCCAATGCTGAACGGGTGGCCGAAATAGCTCAGTTGGGAGAGCGTTAGACTGAAACCCCAATGCTTTGGCCACCTGATGTGAAGAACTGATTCATCTGAAAAGACTCTAATGCTGGGAAAGATTGAAGGTGGGAGGAGAAGGGGACAACAGAGGATGAGATGGTTGGATGGCATCACCAACTCAATGGAAGTGAGTTTGGGTAAACTCCAGGAGTTGGTGATGGACAGGGAGGCCTGGCATGCTGCAGTCCATGGGGTCAGAAAGAGTCAGACACAACTAAGCGACTGAACTGAACCGGCCAAAGTATTAGAGCTTCAGCTTCAGCATGAGTCCTTCCAATAAATACTCAGGACTGATTTCCTTTAGGATGGACTGGTTGGATCTCCTTGCAGTCCAAGGGACTCTCAAGAGTCTTCCCCAGCACCACAGTTCAAAAGTATCAGTTCTCCGGCACTCAATCTTCTTTATGGTCCAACTCTCTCATCCATACATGACTAATGGAAAAACCATAGCTTTGACTATACAGACCCACTACACTACAACATGAAATAAAAACAAAAATAAACATACAGTACCTAACTAAAACTCAAAAGCTTTTACACAGCAATGGAAACCAAAAATAAAACGACAAGACAACCTATAGAGTAAATGTCTGCAGACAATGAGACCAAGAAGGGATCCATCACCAAAACTGACAAAGAGCTCATGGAGCTCAATATCAATAAAATCCAGGGCTTCCCTGTGGCTCAGTGGTAAAGAATCCGCCTGCCAACGCAGGAGACACAGGTATGATCTCTGATCCCCAGGTCCGCAGAGCAACTAAGCCGTGCTCCACAATAAGCATGTGCTCGAGACGCAGCAACTGAGCTCACAACCGCCACCACTGAGGCCCGCGCGTCTAGAGCCCATGCTCTGCAGCAGAAGCCACGTAAACGAGAAGCCAAAGCACTGCAGCTAGAGTACATGCGAGCTATTTTATTTAGGACGGATAAACAATAAGTTTCTACTGTTTAACACTGAGAACTACATCCACCCTCCTGGGATAAACCATAATGGAAAAGAATATTAAAAAAAAAAAAAGAATGTATGTAACTGTCACCACCCTGCAGAGCAGAGATGGGCACAGTGCTGTAAATCATCTGTGCTTTTTTTTTTTCCATTTATTAGTTGGAGGCTAATCACTTCACAATATTGTAGTGGTTTTTGCCATACATTGACATGAATCAGCCATGGATTTACATGTGTTCCCCATCCCGATCCCCCCTCCCACCTCCCTCTCCATCCCATCCCTCTGGGTCTTCCCAGTGCACCAGCCCTGAGCACTTGTCTCATGCATCCAACCTGGGCTGGTGATCTGTTTCACCCTTGATAGTATACTTGTTTCAATGCTGTTCTCTCAGAACATCCCACCCTCACCTTCTCCCACAGAGTCCCAAAGTCTGTTCTGTACATCTGTGTCTCCTTTTCTGTTTTGCATGTTGGGTTATCAATATGTACAAATCCCTGTAGAGCAGAGATGGGCACAACACTGTAAATCATCTATACTTCCATTTTTTTAAAAAAAGAATGAGATAATTTCCATGTGCAGCAACATGCACAGACCTTCAGATTATCATACTAAGTGAAGTAAGCCAGACAGAGAAAGAAAACAAAGACAAATATCATGTGATATCACTTGTGGATTCTAAAAAAAAAAAAATGATACAACTAAATGTATTTACAAAACAGAAACAGACTTGGTAAACAAATTTATGCTTAGCAAAAGAAAAATGTGGAGAGTAAAAATAATTTGGGAGACTGACATATACACACTACTGTATTTATAATAAATAACCAACAAGGACCTACAGTATAACACAGGTAACTCTGCTCACTATTCTGTAAACCAAAATGGGAAAAGAATTTGAGAAAGATACATGTAATACGTATCACTGAGTCACTATGCTGTGCATGTGAAACGAAAAATCATTGTTATTCAACTATACTTTAATATAAGATAAAATTTTTTTTTAAAAAAGCAAACAGGACCAAATGAAAGTCAAAAGCTTTTGCACAGCAGAGGAAATCATAAAGAAAATGACAAGACAACAAACAGACCAGGAGGAAAAATATGCAAATGATGAGACAGATAAGGGATTAGTATCCAAAACTGACAAAGAGCTCAGGCGGCTCAATATCAAAAAACAAACCCCCCCTCCCCCCCAAAAAAAACCATCAAAAAATGGATGAGTGCTACATAGACATTTTTCCAAAGCAGACACATAGATGGCAACAGGCTCTTGAGAACATGCTCAACATTTTCAATTGTTAGAGAAATACAAATCAAACTACAATAAAATACCACTTCACACTGGTCAGAATGGACATCATCAAAAAGTCTACAAAAAATAAATGCTGGACAGTGTGCAGAGAAAAGGGAACACTCCCACACTATTATTATCAAGGAATAGTGGTGCTGGAGATGACTTGAGAGTCCCATGGACTGAAGATCAAACCAATCAATCCTAAATGAAATCAATCCTAAATATTCATTGGAAGGGCCAATGCTAAAGTTCTAATACTTTGGCCAATCAATGTGAAAAGCCGACTCCCTGAGGCTGGGAGAGACTGAGGGCAGGAGAAGAAGGGGTGGCAGAGGATGAGATGGTTAGATCTCATGACTGACTCAATGGACATGAATTTGAGCAAACTCTGGGAGACAGTGGAAGACAGAGGAGCCTTGGTGTGCTGCAGTCTGCGGGGTGGCAAAGAGTCAGACATGACTTAGCGACTCAACAACAGTCACTCTGGAGAACAGTTTCAAGATTCCTTAAAAAACTAAAAATAGAGCCACCATATGATCCAGCATTCGTATTCCTATGGGTACAAAGAAAACCATGGTTCCAATGGATCCATGCACTGTGATGTTCACTGCAGCACTGCTTACAATACCCCAGACATGGAAGCAACCCAAATGTGCATGGAGAGATGCATGGATAAAGAAGATGTGGTACATACATACAATGGAGTATTACTCAGCCATTAAAATGAATAAAATAATATGGATGAACCTGCATTAACATATAGATTATCATACTAAGTAAACTAAACCAAAGAAACACAAATATCATATGAAATGGCTTATATGTAAATTCTAAAACAAAATGATACAAATGAATATATTTACAAAATAGAAACAGACTCACAGATTTAGAAACCAATCTTATCCTTACCATAAAGGAAAAGTGGAGTGGAGATATACTGGAGTTTGGGATACATACACACACTACCATACTTAAAATCAATAACCCACAAGGACCAACTCTATAACTCAAGGGACTGACACGCAGGGTGTCAGCTGAGAGCAATGAGAAGCAGCCCCTTCAGCTAAATGTCCAATAGCTGCCTCATCCCACTGAACAATATACAAGCCCCCCCTCAAAACACCCCCTACCAGTACTCCAAAAATGGTCAAGGGGCTGGAAGAAAACTCCCCACCAGCCAACTGGCGGGAATTTCCCTACCACAGCACGTCCACACACTCACCACTAACCTGTGGGGGCCACTGGACTCATTAGCTGCTCATAAACATTCCATGAATACATATGTCTAATTATATGAAAAGGATATGTGCAGTAGAGCCTCTGCTGCTGTCTGTCAATCAAGGTTGTCAATTAGTGACCCTCCTCAACTATGCAAATGATTTTCCCTTAAAAACTTGTACCCCAGCCCTATAGGGCCCGGCCTCCCCTGGAGTGGCCCACCTCTCTCTTGAGGTGTTCTCTCTGTTCTTTCCTTTTCTCAGTCACTCTTTTGTGTCCGACTCTTGGTTACCTGTCCTTTATTGTTAATTAATTTTCTTGTAATGGTTCAGTTCAGTTCAGTCGTTCAGTCGTGTCCGACTCTTTGAGACCCCATGAATCGCAGCACACCAGGCCTCCCTGTCCATCACAAACCCCCTGAGTTTACTCAAACTCATGTCCATCGAGTCGGTGATGCCATCCA